GCCTGACGGGACCTTCCTCCTCCGCTTCAGTGACTCTGAGATCGGGGGCATCACCATCGCCCATGTCATCCGGGGCCAGGACGGTGCGGTTGCTACAGCCACCCTTCTGCTTTGGGGTTCTTGTGGGAAGGAAGTGTGCTGGTCCTCCTCTAACCCTGGCTTTAGTGTATGGAGAAGGGGGTTCTTGTGGTGCGAAGGTGTCAGCCAGAGGGTGGAGACAGATGCCTGGACGGAGGGAACCTAGTATCTCTTTCCCATCACAGGTTCCTCACAGATAGAGAACATTCAGCCATTCTCTGCCAAAGACCTATCCATTCGCTCACTGGGGGACCGAATACGGGACCTCGCTCAACTCAAAAACCTCTACCCTAAGAAGCCCAAGGATGAGGCCTTCCGGAACCACTACAAGCGTGAGCTGGCGCCCATGGCGTTGATTTCTTTGTCACCCACATCCTCTGTGTCAGCCTTCCTTGCCTCCCTGTGTTCATAGCCCCCTACCCTGCTTCCACCTGCCACGCCCTCCTCTCCCACTTCCCTCACCCCAGAAGCAATCCATTGTATCCCATTTGTTCCCACAACAGCTGAACAGATGGGGAAAGATGGCAGGGGTTATGTCCCAGCTATCATCAAGATGAGTGTGGAGAGGTGAGCACAGTGGTGAGGGCTGGAGGCTGGGACTGACCTGTAGGGAGGAGCATGGCATCAACCCTTGGCTGGCCACCTCACCCCTACCTCCTTGCCTCCTGCAGGGACCAGCCCCTTCCCACTCCAGAGCCGCAGATGCCTGCCATAATGCCCTCTTATGACCTTAGGATGCCCCTGGAGTCCCCCGTGGTGCTTGGCCCAGATGTGTAAGGAGCTGGAAAGACGGGAAGGGGAGTGGTCTATGGACACAGAGCTTTCAGAGGGCAACAACCAGAGGCGGGGGGAGCAGGGAGCTTGTCTTTCCCTGAATGGGTAGGAGGGCCTCTCAGAGAAGGGTCTGCATCAGGGGTCTGCTTTCCTTCCCCAGGTCCCAAGTGTACCCGCCACATGCTCACCCCATCCCCTACCAAACCCTTCCCACCGAGGAGTCGGGCAGAGTGTTGTCACCATTCCCGGAGTAAGTTGAGCCTCTAGGTGTGGGTTGGACTGGGTCCTGGGGAAGCTATGCCACTGCAAAGGGTGTGGTGTGGGCATCTGCCAGAAGAGGCAGGGCAGTACCTGCCGGCCCTCTTCACTGTCTTCTCCTGCTCACTGTAAGGGCTGCAGATGGTCATTTATTCTTGTTTTTTGTTTGTTTGTTTTGTTTTTGATTGATTTAAAAGGCAGTTTGAGAGAGAGGGAAAGAGAGTGAACTTGTGCATCCATTGGTTCACACCCCAAATGGCCATGACAGCCAGGGTAGACCAGCTAGACCAGCAGTGTGAAAAACCACTGTGGTCTCACATGTTGGGTAGCAGGAGCCCAAGTATTTGAGCTGTCTTCTGCTGTCCTCCCAGGTGCATTTGTAGGCAGCTATACAAGAAGTAGAGCAGCCAGGTCTCAAACTGGTGCTCCTATGAGATGCTGGCACTGCAGGTGGTGACTTCAGCTGCTTTGCCACAACACAGATCCTGGAGGTAGTAATTTAGATCCAGACTCCCTGGTTTTGCATTTCACCTCTGCTGTTTCCTGGCTTTGGGCAAGTTACTTAACCTCTGGTGTCTCATCTGTAATATGAGGAACAATAACAATAGTAATGCATCATGAAGGTTAAGTGGAAATTCATGAAATGTGTGAAGCTGAGTGGAGTGTCTGGCCAGGAGCACATGCTGGCTAAGTTGTTTTTCTCTTCTGCTATTGAACTCCACTGTTGTCATCCACTGTGTTTATTCTTAACATTTAAATGTACACACATCTGTTTTTATTTTATTTGAAAGAGACAGAGATTGTTCTGTCTGTTGGTTCACTCCCATGACTCAACCAAGCTAAAGCCAGGAGCTTGTAACTATCAGAGTTTCCCATGTTGGGAACAGAGACCCTTCATACTTGAGCCATCACCTGCTGCACACCCCCATGGTGCACATTAACTGGAAGTTAGAACGGAATGGGAGACTTGAGGCATGCAAGCAGTTCAATATGGAACAGCTGAACAGATGGGGAAAGATGGCATCTCTAGCTAGCTAATATCTGGCTATCTCCAGCAACATCTAATAGCTAAATATCCAAATGCTCACCCTAGATTTTTTCAAATATTTATCTTTATTGGAAATGCAGATCTACAGAAAAGAAAGAGAGAGACAGAGATCTTTCATCTGCTTGGGGTTCACTCCACAATGGCTGGATCTGAGTTGATACCAAGCCAGGAACTTCTTCCAGGTCTCCCAAGTGGGTGCAGGGTCCCAAAGCCTTGGGCCATCCTTCATTTTTCTCCCATGCCACAGACAGGGAATTGAATGGGAAGTGGAGCAGCCAGGACATGAACTATGGGATGTGGGCACCTGCAGGTGGGGGATCAGCCAGTTGAGCCACTGTGCTGACCCTAACTCTAGGATTTTATTGACTCTTTGATCTTGCCCTTGAATTGATTTAGACAGTTTTTCCCCCAAGGCAACATTTAACTGTTTATGAACTCTTTGTTTTTTTGAGACTTGTTTATTTTTATTGGAAAGTCAGATACACAGCGAAGAGGAGACAGAGAGAAAAATCTGATGATTCACTCTCCAAGCAGCTGCAATAGCTGGAGCTGAGCCAATCTGAAGCCAGGAGCCTGAATCTTCCTCTGGGTCTCCCACACGGGTGCAGGATCCCAAGGCTTTGGGTGGTCCTCAGTGCACTCCCAGGCCACAAACAGGAAGCTGGGATTAGAACTGGTGACCATATGGGATCCAAGCACTTTCAAGACGAGGACTTTAGCCTCTAGGCTACCTTGCCTGGCCCTGAACTCTTTGTTAAAGCACATTTCCCCTCCCATGTGTTGAAGTGCTGCTTGGGGCTAGGAGACTGGGGTTGCTGAGAACCACTAACGTTCATAGTCAAAGAAATGCTAGAGGTTGGCTGATGCGACCCCCAGCACATATGCATTTTACAGAGGAGAAGCCTGAACTCACAGTATGGGGTGGGGACCATGCAGGACCCTGTTGCCCCGGCATAGCTAGGTCAGGAGGAGCTGGAACTGGAGTGTTGTCACCTCTGTGGCCTTGACCTTACGGTTGTCTTGGTCCAATAGTACTGCCTCAGACCATGCTCTCCTTCTGCTTCCAGGACTCACCCGCAGATCTCCCAAAACCTGAGTCAGATCAACCTGTCCTTCTCCCAGCATCCCACCTCGTGAGTGGCAAAGCCCCTGCTAAGCCTGTGCTCCCCATTTGGCACTGGCCACTCTGTCTCGGCTGATTTGCCTTTCTGGTCCCCAGCCTGCTGCAGTGCCAGCCTCAGGAGCATGCTGTGTCCAGCTCTGAGCCCCAGCTCTGCCCAGATGTGACCATGGTGGAAGACAGTCGCTTGAATGATCAGGTGACAGGCTTCCCTCAGAGCACCTGGTGAGTGATGGCCTCTGGGGGCGCTGGCTGAGAAGGGGCTGGGGATTGGGATGCCACACCACTGCCCACTGCCATCATTCCTCCCCACTCTCTTCACAGGCCTACCGAAGACATGTTCCCCCCACTGCTGCCTCCCACTGAACAGGATCTCACCAAGCTCCTCCTGGAAGGGCAAGGAGAGTCAGGGGGAGGGGCTCTGGGACCCCAGCCGCTCCTGCAGCCCTCCCACTATGGGCAGACTGGGATCTCCATGTCCCACCTGGACCTTAGAGCCAACCCCAGTTGGTGATCCCGGCTGGACGAGGAGCCCAGAGACACGGCTTTTCCACTACCCCATGGACACTGCTCCTGATCCTGCCCAGCAGATGGGCAGGGCACCCTCCCAGCACCACCCACTCTCTGGTCAGGAGGAAAAGACTGCCAGGGGAATGTACAGTGGGTGGAGCCACTCCACTCCTTCCTTCCACACACTCCTGTCCATCTCCTTCCAGCCCTGGAAGGGAAGTTCTGGCTCCAAAGTGAGACACACCCCAACATGCCTGCACCTGCAGCACGCATGTGCACGCACACACTCACAAAGCTCTCTTGAAGGTGGGGCTGGGCTACAGCCTAAGTTAGGGTGTGGAGGGGTGCCACTGCGCACTCTGGGCCAGGGCCTGGGACACACACACACAGAGTAACAGTTATACAGACACACTGGCCCTAGACGCTGGGCTAGTGGTCCTGGGCCTGGGTCCTAGCTCCCAAGGGCAATGGGGAAACAGTTTAGGAGGGACACTGGGTGGGAGGAGGTGGGGGCGGGCTCTGGATATGTGGACATTGACCACATTAAGAAACAAGTCCCCTGGGATGGAAGCTTTTGGTTTGAGTATGCAGGAGTAGGAGTCCAAGGCCAAGTTTGTGTGTGCGTGCATGGACATGTATGTAACCAAGACAGATTAATGCATACATGCTACACCTCAGTTATATGAGCACATGTAATCTGTGTTTATCTGCTTTTGCCCATGTGACCACATGCATTTGGGAGTATGAGACACTGCACAGGGCTCTGACATCTGAACCCAAATGTGCTGTGACTTGTTTGTGCTCAGGTGGGTCGTGAACAGCTGTGCCATCTACTATGTACACAGCTCTAGGGCCTCCAATGCCACCCCTGGGACTTGGAGGTGACAGTGCAGTTCAGCAGCCCAGGTCTAGCCTTCCAAAGCTATCAAGAGGCCCTGCCCATCACTTCTTTTTTGTTCTGCTCACCCTCAACATACACACACATTGCCAGCTTCCTTCCATCATCCCCATCCCATCTCCATCCCCAACCCTTCTCTCTTTGCAGGGAGTCATAGATCCTAAGCCATAAAATAAATTTTATTCCAAAATAACAAAATAAATAATCTACTGTACACAATCTGAAAAGAAAGATGCTCTAACTGCTCGGCTAGGTGCTGGGAGTCTAGCCCCCAGCTGGCGAGGGGGAGACCCTGAGTGGACCCAGGCCTTCTGAGGGGGCCGCTGAGGGGATCCCCCCTGCCCCCCACCAGAGAGCAGGAAGGAAAAAATTGCTGAGGACTTGCAGGGGAGAGAAAGGGTTGAGGTGGGAAGGGAGCAGACTGTAGCACTTGTTAAAGTAAACAGACAAACTAGAAACACAAAAACGGGGAAGGGGCAGGGAGAAAGGTGCAGGTCCAGGATTTCCAGACCCTCAGACCTCCAGTTCCAGGAGGGACAATGTTGCCCTTTTTAGCTGCTGGACCCTCCCAGCGAATCCCCCTTCCCCCATGTCCAGACGCAATCCAACTGCTCAGCACACACACCAATGCCAACCTAGGAAGAATGGGAGTGTGCTGTGGGAGGGAGGGGTCCCTCAGGCTCTGGAGCGCAGGCCTTGACCCCTTGCTGTGGGCGGGGGGAGGGAAGGGCGGGAGAGGACACCACGCACCCTGCTTGCATCCTCTCACCAGGCCCCTGCTCGTTATTGCTTGAAGCCCCACAGCTCTCCGCTCCTGGAGCAGGTGCAGGGGCCGGAGAAACTGTGACCAGACGCCCCTATTGTCCCAGTGTTGGGGCAGGCATTCCGGGGGTCCGTGTGAACCAGAAGGCTGGGGTGCCCAGCAGGGCAGGTGGCACCAGTCTGGCCCTCACTGCCGGCTGGCCTCAGCTTCCACTTTGACGCTGCTCCTGCGGCCTTCCACCAGGGCAGGGTGGGGCCCTGGGGCAGGGCATCGGTCCAGCAGCCCTTCTTCAAACTCTGTAGGGGGAAAGGGCAGGTTAGAAGATAGAGCCTCGTTGAAGCTGTAGAGAGAGGTGACGATGACCAGGCTGGGGAGAGTGAACTCTGAAGCTGGGCTCACTAAGCCTCCTGTCTTCAGCTCATGGCATGGCTACAGGGGCAGGGGGTGTGGAGGGGTGTCCACCCAAGTGTGTGTGGAGCCCCCTCCCCTGCCTGGTGCTGTGTGGCTGTCTTTCTCTCCCGCCTCTGTTCTGCTGGAATTTCTGGTTCTGTCGGGAGCTGCGGGGGTGGCTTGGCTCTGACCTCTTCCCCTCCCCCCTTCTCAGGCTCTGCCACCCCCATTCATCTCTGGCCCCCTCCCAGACCTCCACCCACCCACCTACCTGCCCTACCCACCCTGCCATGGCACCCCAAGGTTTTTGGTAGCCAAATCGGGTGGGGTGGGGGGGAACCACAGGAAGCCAGCCTCCCAGCTCCTCCCTCTAGAAGAGCCCCCCTCCCCTCTCAATCCCCACCCCCACCTCCCACCCACACACAGTTTAAAAATACCAAGCCAGGGTTGGTGGCTTTGTCTGCTGCGTCACTCTCAGCCCAGCCGGCTGCCCGGCCCTCTGCCGGCCCACTCCCTTTTCTCCTATCCACACATAAAGCATCCTCTTCGGGGCTCCCTGGCCTCTAAGCTGGGCAACATGGTCCCCACAACTTGCCACCTGCTCTACCCTCCTGCACTGGTTCAAGTCCCTTGGTGACTCTTCCTCAGCCAACCATACTGTGTAGCCCTGCTTCCCCCTCCCCTGGGGGAGATCCAGAGCACAAGACATGCTCAGACCCTCCCTACCAGGGTCTGGCTCTGGGCAGAGCTCAGCCTGGCTGGCAGGCACCACACCTCCCGTGGCCTCCCCATCCTACTGACCCCTGTGGGAGATCACTTCCCCTTTTCTTCCTCCCACCTGGGCCCCAGGGCACCAGGATTGCTGTGGCCAGAGCAGGGATGGGGCGTAGGGGCCCAAGTGGCCGGGGTGCTTTGGGGACAGCACTGCTGGCTGCCTCACCTGCGAGGGGTGGCTTTGCAGGCACACAGGGGCTGAGGCGGCCCACGCGGTCGTGGGAGACGAGGCGGGCGAGCCGCAGCCCCTCATCCATCAGTGTCTGCTGCAGGATGTGGCGGCTCCACAGCCCATGGGTTGGTAATGCCAGAGGCAGGTCAGCAGGGGGCGGCGTCAGCCTTGGGCACGACCCCACAGCTGTGGGCATGGGCACTGGTCAGGAAAGGGCTGTAGCAGATGGAAACCTCCCTCCATCCACCCTTCAACCATGCAGCCAGGCCGAGGCCCTCTGGTCAAGATGGTGTCAGGCTCCCCAGCGCCCTTGGAAGGTAGCTATCTTCCAGCTCACTCCTCCCACACCCATCCCTTCTGCCTCCCCCAGCTGAGAGAGGTGTGTCCTGGTGCACACTCACCCTGCAGGTGCCCATCGAGGCTCTCCCCAGACAGGCTGGCACTGTCTTCCTCCAGGCTGGGGCGGTATGGTGGTGCATAGGACTCAGGGCCTGAGGGAGGCTGCTGGATTTCAGAGTGACTCTGTTCTCCAACCTGTGTACACCCCAAAAGATGGTGTGCATGGAAGAAGGGAGGGAAAAATGAGGAGCTGGCAAGGAAGGGCTTGCTTCCCCTCCAGGCACTCTGTAAAACACACCTCTTGCTTCAGCTTCTTCAGTGGAGGGCCTGCCAACTCTTCAGGGTGCAGCCTGCAAAGAGAGCAGAAAAGGTCACATTGGAGAGAGTCACATGATTGGCAGGGCCAAGAAAGTGGCCAGAGGTACAGGGACAACTTGACACTTGCACAAAACAGTTGGCTGAGGAGGGACAGGGTCTCTTGCTTAGGTGCACTGGGTGGGGGCGAGTATTCGAGGGAACTTGCGATGGAAGGGATGGGGGAGAGTCAGGCCTCAAAGGAGTCGACCCAGCCAGAGGTGGAACCGGCAGGTGGATGAGAAGCAGGCTGGGAGCTGCCTGAGCTGCAGGGAAGGACATCACTCGACTCCTGGAGGGACATCAATGCCAAAAGGGAAGGGGTCTCACCTGGAGCCCTTCAGGGAGGACAGGTAGGTGCTCTCGCGGGCCACCTGGCGGGACAGGGAGAACAGCTCCACTCGCCGCAGCAACAGCGTGTTGTCCCTCATGCAGAACTGGGCAGCGGCCTCGTTGATGGTCAGCTGTGGAGAGGGGGCAGCCAGTCTGTCAGAAGCTCAGCTCCTCCTCTACTTCCTCATGCAGCGCTGCCCTGTCTACGTCCATGGGATCTGCCTTGGCTCTGATACAGCCTGGCAGCTCAGCCCCTACAGCTCCCCGGGAATGCCTCCTCCCACCGCCCCACCTCATGCATGGTCCTGAGTGACACAAGCTCCACAACTGGTCACTAGCTACTAACATCACCTCTGTCCAGGATGGAAACACCCTGGCAACTGGGCCTGGGGGTGTATGGGAGGTGAGAGCTGGAGGGGCCATGAGATGGAATCGGAGAGGATGCTGGGTCACCTAGGGGATGCGGGCAACACCCCAAATGCCCCGGGCCTCACCTCATGCAGGCTCAACTGCTTGCCCTCCCTCCGCTTGGAGTCAAAGCGGCCATAGATGATGCTGTACTTGCGAATCTCTTCTTCCTTCTGGCTGTCGTTGTCATCCATCTCAAAGATGTGCCCCACACTCCGAGCCAGCTTCTTATTCAGCTTTAGCAGGGAAGTCACCTCTCCAGCATCCCCCCTTGGGAAACTCCGGAAGATCCTCTCCACACTCTCCACCACCATGCGGACCATTTCTGGCTCCAGGCGGTCTGGACTACCTCCGGCCCCACCAGCTGCCAGACCCCCAGCCCCAGGCCCCTCAGGGACTGCGCCCCCTGCAGGTGGGGAAAAAGGGGGTGAGCCAGCCTCCTCTTCCCCTCCTGCCCCAGCGTCTGATTCCGGAGTACTCCTGCCTGGCCAAATCCGGGGGTCCCCTGTGCCGGGACCCCCAGGCAGTGGTGACAGTTTCTCTCCAAGTTCAAGAGGGCTCTTGGGGCTAAAGCTGCGGGCTCCGCCCACCTTCTCCCCTGGGCTGCTGTGCCCATTGCTCATGCTGCCTTTGCGGGTGCCCGCAGTCTCAGAGATCTTGAAGAGTGGGATGCTGGAGACGGGCACAGCGGGCACAGGCTGGCTGAAGAGACCTGGGTTGGTGGCCCATTCCCTCAATGCCTTCTGGAGGCGCCGGACATGGAGGGGCTTGGTGGCCATGCCCACCAGTGCCATGATCTCCAGGAACTCCTCCTCGCCTGCCTCACACAGTTGCTGCACGTCGTCGCCTCCCTGCTGGATGAAGGTCTCATAGTAGGAGAGGAGATTGGCACGCTGCAAGACCCGGTACAGCTGCAGCTCTCCCAGAGTCCGGGGCAGGGCCATGGCCCGGGCACTAGGCCTGAAGAGCAGAGAGGAAGTCAGAGTGAGGCCCTCCAGTGGGGTGGCAACTCATGCTCTATCACTGGCTAACAACTGCTCCCTCTGTCGTGCCAGCCCTCCATGTCATCTCTGCTCCCTCTCCCCAGCAGTATGCAGAGCTGGGCACGGCCCAGAGGCACGGTCATGCCACTACATCCCACACAAACTAGAAGCACCCAAAGCCAGCAGTGCCTTGTTGGCGCCAGCCAAACACGCACCCCCAACCTTCAGCCCTGTTCTCCTGGCCAGGGGGCAGGATGGCTCCTGTCCTGGAAGCTAACCAGTACCATCCCTACTATGGCGGGACCTGCCTGCCTCTCCCCCAAAACAGTCCTCACCTAGGGACACCCTGCTAAGGGTTGAGAGTGTGCTGGGGGCACCCTGGTTGGCCAGCTGCAAACCCTGACACATGGGGGCTGAGAGGGAGGGGTGTGTCCCTGGCTCTGCCTTTCCCCAGCTGTTCCTATCAAGCGTTCCTAGCGCACCTTACTCTCCTCCCAGGCCTCTTCCTCCCTCCTAGGCTGCCCACAACCCCTGTTTGGTCCAGTGACCTTCCCCCTCCCACTTGCTCCCCACTGTCCCTTCCACTCGGGTGGTGGAGGGGGGCGGTGGGACTCGATTGTTCTGCTCTGGGGCCCGCTCCGCCCCCACACCCTCCCACTGTGGAGCGTCTGTGGGCGAGCAGCGCCTAGGGGCTCCCGCCTACTCTCCCCTCCTTTATTTTCCCACCCACATCTCCCAGTGCAGTGGGGTGGGAGAGCCGCTGAAGAGCTCCTAAGGGAGGGGCTGGCCCTCATAGATGCCCCTCCTCAGGCCGGGAAGGAAGGGTGCCGAGGGCACAAAACGCCCCGAAGGTAGGCACCCCGTGGCCGCTCAAGGCTGCTCGCTGGTGTTTCCGCAACTCAAAGGCGCCGCCTTCTCCGCGACCGCGGGGACTGTGCGCGTTCTATGCCCATTGCAGACGGAACCAGCCCTGTGCCCCCCACTGGGCATTGTTGCTAGCTCCAGCCCTTGGGCTTTCCCTGGCACTCGTGGGCTCCCGCATTCCTTACAGGGGGTTCGCATGCCAAGTCATGCCCACAGCCGAAACGGGGAAAAGGAGTGCTGCTGTCTCCTCTCCACCTGCACAGCCCCTCGCCTGCTTCCAGGGGCCCCTCATCCTTAAACTCACGCCTTTTACCATTCGTCTCCACCTCCCACACCAGGTCCCGTTTCCCCGACATTCTCGCCTAGCCCTCCGCCCTCCGGAACCCACTCCCAGCCCATCTTTACACCGTCCCACTCCCGCTGCCTCCCTCTACCCACTAACTTGAGTCTGGGCTGCGGGGTCCGGCGGGCGCTGTCCCCTCCGCCCGGCGGCTGCTCAGCGGTGGGGGAGGGCGCTCTCTGCATGGACGGCCGGAGACCACCCAGGCTGCCCCCGTCGCTGCCCGGCGCTCGGCGCCTGCTGCGCGCTGCGCTCTTCCCTGCGCACGCGGCCGTGTCCACCGCTGTCCAGGCTCCGTCCCACCCTCCACGTCCTCTCTCTCCGAGCCTCCGCGCCTCTGTCTGTGCCTCTACCCCCACCTCCCCGGCTGCGCTCGCCGCCGCTCCGCGCCTCCGCCCCCGCAGGACGCACGGGGAGCGAGGCCCGGCGCTGCGCTGGCTGGCGGGCTGGCGGGCGGAGGGCGTGGGCAGAGCCGGGGGCTGGGGCCGGGGGCGGGGGGCGGGCGCCAGGGCCTCTCGGCAGCCTAGCCGCCGAGGCACCGAGACAGAGAGAGGCGGAGACGCGGGGAGGGGGTTTGAGATCCGGGGGCTGGGGCGGGGATTCGGAGTCGGGCGCCGAGTTGGGGACCGAGGTGACCGAGGCCGGGCTGTGGAGGGCGGGCTTGGGGGCCCAGCGGGCGGGGCGAGGTCGCTCCGTGCCGCCCACGCCGGATGCACAACCGGCCCTCTCCGCGCCCACGCACCCACGTGAGCGCCCCGCCGGCGACATTCCTACTTCCCCCACCTCGCCGCCGCCGCCGCCACCCCTACCTCTCCGAAAGGAGAGGAGTTGCACAACCACGCACAGGTACACAAAGACACGGGGTAGCGCGCGGACTGCACATGCACCGCAACAACTGCGCGGACACCCGCGGCCCCCCAGTTGCAGGCTTGACGCTGCAGTGCGTACGCGGAGGCTAGAAGTGAGCCGGGGCAGGTTGGCGAGGGTTCAGGGCTCGTGGCTGCCCCTTCGAAGGCAGGTGACCCCCCACATTTCCCTTCACCCAAGGCGCCTTTTGGGTAGCCCAGCCCTTCCCTAGCCCTAAAACCAGTGATTTGAGGGTGCCGCTCTAGGAAACCCTGACCGCCTCCATTCCCACCTCGAGCCTTTGGCGAAGTTTGGAAAACGGGAATGGGCGGGTCGCGCTGGAAGCCACCGCTTCAGCATGCGCTGAGCGTCTGTTAGCCTGGCCAAGCAGGGGCCCGGGGGGCGCGCCCCGCTCGCCTCTACTCGCCCAACATCATTGCATGAGGATGGGGCCCCGCTCCTTGGGAGCTTTGCGGCACAGGTAGGAGGCGGATCCTCGTGTCGGGACATCACCCCAGAGTCCAGAAAAGGAGCGGGAGGCCCAGGCGTCCCTCCACTCGCTGTGGAGGCGGCGAGGGAGGGGCGCCTTCCTGGGGCCCGAGGCCCTATCCGCCCCGACTTTGCGCAGCCCACCCTCCCCCTGGGTTTCTCCTAGCCCATCTGGTTCCCATTTCTCTCCCGCCCACGGCTTGGAGGGCTGGTTGCGGGGTGGTAGTGGTGGTGGAGGTGGTAAGCGGGCGGGGGCTCCAAGGGCCCGACCTAGGGAAAATGGAGGTGGGGGCGGCGGGAAGCAAGCAGACTGGCCCAAGGCGAGGATACTCCTCGGGCAAAGCCTTAGCCCCGCCCCGCCATTCCGCACTTCTGAGTGGCCAGGCTGGGCGTGGGTAGCGTGGGCCGGGGCTGGTTCCACATTCCGGCTTGGCCAGGGGACCTTGCTGTCCCTAGTAAGGACAGGGGAAAATGCGGGGTGTGTGTGTGTGTGTGTGATTTCAGTAACTCAGGTCTGTCGTCTGCAGCCAATGAAGCGACTAACGTAGTGGGACAGGCGGGAGCGGGCAGAGTCACCCCTCCACCTCTCAGTCCCGCAACTGGGGGACGCGGTCAGATGGAGGGCTGCCCTCCGGGGCGCTGCCCGAGTCCCTTCCCCCACGCTCCGTCGGGTTATTTTGGAGCCTGGGCTGCCAGCCGCTGGCCCCGGGTTTCCACGTGCCCCCTCCCTCCCCCGGCCCACGCTCCCCGTGACGCACATCCTCCGCCCACGCAGCCTCTGCTCCCGGCGCCCCCCTCCCTCCCACCCGGCCCCCTGGGGCGGCGCCGAGGTCTGCGCTCCGGAGGGAGCCGCCCGCCAGGCTGCAGCGGGGTGGAGCGGCCCGGGAGGCGGCAACCTAGCCGGTTGCCCGGCGCGACTGGGTCCCGGCCCAGGCGGGAGGGCAAGGGAGGATCCGACGCTGAGGTCTCCAATCCCCGGGGTCCTGGGGCGGGTCCTCGGCCCGAGTTGGAGGGGGAGGAAACCCTGCGGAGGGGGCCGTCTGCTGCCCCCACCTCCTTACCTCCAAGGGAGTCATCAGACGTCCGGGTGCGCGAGTGAAAGTCCCCGGTGTTTGTGGCTCGCGGTCCAGACGGGAGACTGTGCGTGAATACTCCGCAAATGGCCGAGTGCTGGGCACGTGTGAGACGCTCTTGCCATTTGGTGCGTCTGCACCGCGACGCTAGGTGTTTGTGTGCTTTTATCGACTTGTGCCACTCTCCGTGTTTCTAGGTTTACCTGCAAGCCCCCGGTATGTTAATTTAAAAATTCGCACATGTAGAAAACCTACAGCCCTCCGCCGGGGCCTGGATCGCCCCCGCAGCCCGCTGCCCGCCGCGGCTTGCTCCTGGCTTCCCTCCTACTCTTGCCGCCTCCAGCTGCCGCCTACTCCCTTCCGCCGAGAACAAGGAATTTCCAGCCTTTAGCAAGAGGAATGAGCGAGAAAGGAGACCACGAGAAACTATAGGAAAAAAAAAGTGATACAGATGTAGGAATGGGGCGAACATGAGTACAGGGGGGTGGGTAGGGATAAAATATCTACATTTTTATTTCGTTTTCCACACAGCCTGCATTCTGGGGATCACTTGGCCAGCGGACTCAGCCGCTAACCGCCCTCCCCACCTTGAGTGATTTCTCAGAAGCAAACAGATCTATATCGATCTCTTCCATAAAGGAAAGTTGTATCTTTTGTCCTAAGGTTTCCAGGAGAGGGTGGTAGGGAAGCCAGGAGCCTATAGGCCCGGAGAATTGTGAGTCCTGGGCCTGGGTAGATTTTCTTCTAAAAGGTGCCAGGCTGTGTCCTCCCTGCTTCAACGCCCGCCCTGCCCAGTTCTGGCTTGACGTTACTGGCTTCCCCACCTGCGCTCCCCTCCTCCTGCCCCGCAGGTAGAAGTGATTCCACCCTTCTGACCTTGTTTGTTGGAGTCCCTCAGCTAGGACTCCTCCAAAGAAGACCTGCTGCGGTCTGCGTGGCTCTCTGGAATAAAAGGAGAATGCTGCTCGAAGGCCGGAGCCACTTGGAAAACAGCAGTGGACACATCTCTGTCTCCAGAAGGGACTGAGTCTGGGCCGTACTGTTGCAGGGAGAAATTTGTCTTTTTTTTTTTTTTTAAGATTTACTTATTTTATTGCAAAGTCAGATATACATAGAGGAGGAGAGATAGAGAGGAAGATCTTCCATCCGATGATTCACTCCCCAAGTGAGCACAACGGCCTGTGCTACGCTGATCTGTAGCCAGGAGCCAGGAACTTCCTCCAGGTCTCCCATGCAGGGTGCAGGGTCCCAAGGCTTTGGGCCGTCCTTGACTGCTTTCCCAGACCACAAGCAGGGAGCTGGATGGGAAGTGGGGCTGCCAGGATTAGAACCGGCATCCATATGGAATCCCATTGCGTTCAAGAGGAGGAGTTTAGCTGCTAGGCCATTGTGCTGGGCCCTTTGTGTTTCTTTCCATTAAGTTCCGCAAGGCTGGCTTGCTGGCATTCTCAAATAACCACTCTTTTGGTAAACTGGTTTGTATCTACCCAGGTGCTAAGGGTAAAAAGCAGATATCTTTACCCAGCAGTAGAAAACTATGGAAATGATGCCCCTTTGCCTGCTTTAGTAACATGTCAGAATTGCAGAATTGATGATCTGACATGCACACAAACACTAGAGAAGTGCTCAGTGGGAGACCTGCATGAAGCTCCTCGCTGCAGGTGTTTGGTCCAGCCCAGCAGCCACCTGGGGAGTGAACCAGCAGATGGAAGATCTCTATGTCTGTCCTGTTCCCTGCCTCTCGGTGACACTACCTTTCAAATAAAGTTCCTCTTAAAAAAGGGGGGGGGCGGGATGCGGCGCCGTGGCCTAGCGGCTAAAGTCCTTGCTTTGAACGCACTGGTTCTAGTCCCGGCAGCTCTACTTCCCATCCAGCTCCCTGTTTGTGGCCTGGGAAAGCAGTTGAGGATGGCCCAAAGCCTTGGGACCCTGCACCCGTGTGGGAGATCTAGAAGAAGTTCCTGGCTCCTGGCTTCGGATCAGCACAACACGGGCTGTTGCGGTCACCGGACGGGAGATCTTCCTCTCTGTCTCTCCCTTCTGTATATCTGACTTTGTAATGAAAATAAAATAAATCTTTACAAAAAAAAAAAAGGACCAAGACAATCTCTCCAAGACAATCAAATTGTAATTCCTACCTGTAAGGAACTTAGAACAGAGGAGATGGGAGACAGGTTGTAAGCAGGTGGTTGCCCAATAGGGTCGTAATAGTGATTCAGGCAATGGGAGGGGTCTAAGGAGGGTGTTGATCCACTTGGGGTTGTGAGGAAACTGGTTTAGACAGGCATCCCAAGAAAGATCAGAACTTTGAGGTTCAAGTGCAGGTCAATATTTTAAAGTATGAATGAAAACTTCCCTGTCAAGGAGATTAGAATGAACACTTGAAGGAAGTGAGAAGCAATGTTTGAGAAACTAGACCTTGTTCCTTGCAGAGCAATGAGTCTCAGATTCTGCTTAATAACCGGTTAAAAAAAAATTTCTGGGTGCGGGGTGTTGTGTGGCCATTGAAATTGCTCCTGCGATGCTGGGGATGTTGGAGTCCCATTTGGGTGCTGGTTCCTTGTCCCTCTGTTCCACTTTTTTTTGAAAGGTCTAATTTATTTTTATTTGAAAGGTGGTGATACAGAGAGAAGGAAAGACAGAAGTCTTCTATCTGCTGGTTCACTCCTCAAATGGCCACAATAACTGGAGCTAAACTGATCTGAAGCTAGGCGGCAGGAACAACTTCTGGCTCTCCCATATAAGTGCAGTGGCCCAAGGATTTGAGCTGTCTTTGGCTACCTTCCCAGGTCATGAACAGTGAGTTGGATTGGAAGTGGAGCAACTGGGATACAAAACGACGCCACAGACTTAGCTTACCCTGCTGTAGTATTGGTCCCTCTACTCTGCTTTAGATCCAGCTCCGTGATAATGTACCTGGGAAAGCAATGGAAAATGGCCCAACTACTTGGACCATTGTACCCAAGTTGGGGACCTGAATAAAACTGGCTCCTGACTTGGCCTTAACTATCCTTGGTAGTTGAGGTAATTTGGAGAGTGGACAAGCAGATGGAAGAGTTTCTCTCTTTCTAACTGTAACTCTGCCTTTCAAATAAATAAATCTTTAGAAAAAAAATCTCAGGGCTGGTACAGTGATTTGATTTGGCTGAGTAATCGCCCATCTACAAGTGTTGGGATCACATATGGGTGCCAGTTTGTGTTCTGGCTACTGCATCTCTGATCCAGCTTTCTGCATTTGGCCTGGGAAAGCACCAAAAGGTGGCTCAGGACTTTGGGCCCCTTGGGAGAGCTGGAAGAAGCTTCTGGCTCTTTGCTTCTGATTAGTTCATCTCCAGCAGTTATGGTTATTGAAATTGAACCAGTGGATGGCAGATCTTTCTCTAACTCACTTTCTTTCTCTGTAAATCTGCCTTTTAAATAAAAATAGATAAATCTTAGAGTTGGCGTCACGGCTCCACAGGCTAATCTTCCACCCCATTGAGCCAGCATCCTGTATGGGTGCTGATCTGTGTTTTGGTGGTACCCTTCCCATACATTTCCCTGATTGTGGCCTGGGAAGGCAGTGGAGTGTGGCCAAAGTCCTTGGGACCTGCACCTGCATGGGAAACCCAGAAGAAGATCCTGGCTCCTAGCTTTAGATCAGCTCAACTCTGGCTGTTGAACACATTTGGGGAGTGAATCAACACACATGGAAGACCTTCTCTTTCTTTCTCTCCTTCTCTCTGTAAGTTTGCCTTTCAAATAAAAAAAAAAATCTTTAAAACAAAAATAGATATTTGAAACAAAATTTATGTTACTCATTGCTAAATAAAATGTAGTAAAGATGAATTATTAGAAAAATGAGATAAAATAACCACTTTTATCAGATTCAATAGATAAAATTTTTGTCAAGTGGCTTTAAGACTTTCGAAACCCTGTATTGTTTCTGAAAGTGTTTCATTAAGAGTTTGTAATAAATGTTGCATTGCATTATGGTAGTTCTTCCTTTTTTCTTTCTTCCTTTTTTTTTTTTAACGATCTCTTTATTTTTATTGGAACAGCAGATTTAGAGGAGGAGAGACAGAGAGAAAGAGCTTCATATACTGGTTTACTCCCCAAGTGTCAGTGATGGCCAGACCTGAGCTGATTCGAAGCCAGGAGGCAGTAGCACTTCCACGTGGATGCAGGGTCCCAAGGGTTTGGGCCATCCTCTACTGCTTTCCCAGGCCACAATCAGGGAACTGCATGGGAAATGAAGCACCTGGGACATGAACTGGTGCCCATAAAGGATCCTGGCACATCCAAGGCAAAGGATTTAGCCACTGAGTCATCGCCCCAGGGCCTAGCTCTTTTTTCTTTTACCCATGTTTTAGATCTAAGGACCCTGGACTTCATTAGGTGGCAACCCCATTGATTTGTAAGGATTCTCTGATGCATGGCACAGTCAGTGAGATGTGATCAGATCTGTATTTAGCATCAGCATAGAGGAAGGAAGAATGACAGGGAACCACTATGTAAAGTGCTGGTATGGGATGAAGCGGAAGGACCCAGTCAAGAGAGAGACAGTATCAACAATAGGACTTGGTTGTTGACTGGGGAGAGAGCGCAGGGTGCCTCTCAGACTTCCAGCTTGGCTGACTGAGTAAACTGAATGGAGTTTTGATTTTCAAAGTCTGAAATTGTCATCAAACGCGCATGATATGGAATAGTCCTTTATCCATAGTTCCCTAAATTTAAGAACTGAAAATCAAAAGCTTTCACATATTATACTTGACAACATACATCAATCTGACCAGGATTTATTTTGTCTAAGGCAGAGAACCTGACCTAAAATAAACATGAGGTTACAGTTTTTCATTTATCCTCTTTGATTTATCCTAATGTACATATTCATTATGTCAGTGTAGAACTGGTAATGCTTGGTAAGTGCATGTTGCCCCAAACACCTCTGGGACTGTTACCTTATATATTTGACATGTGCCAGGTTATCCTTCTAAAAGCCAAAAGATTCTGAAATACATACATTTACCATCCAGATTTCTCACCCTGTTTTCTTGTCAGCTTTGAAATGAGTTTTTCTGGACCATTGCATAAACAGATCCACCTGCAGATAATGAATATTCATTGCAGTATGTGCTATAAATTCTGAAGGTGATTTTCAAAGCGGTTTGAGCAATGGTTTCTATTTAAAAATGGCTAAAGCTTCTGGAATGACTTGTTGAAGTGGACAGCCAGTCTCGTTTACACTTGTCAAGAGTCAGTGGTTTGTAATTTTTCTGGAACTGCTCATTTGTGAGGCAGAGAACAAGCTCCCGTTGCTGGTTCACCCTCCGCAAGCCCCCATGGGCCAGCTGAAGGAGGGAACTTGGAACCATCAGAGTGAAGGAGAGTGGAACAGGATTTTGCCTTCCCATGAGAAAAAATTCAGACATGAGACAGGAACGGGCAAGCAGGGAGCAGGTTTTCCTTTAGTAAAGATGGACAGGTCTATAGGCAAAGTCTGAGTGCTCCGTTATTCAGACCAGGGAAACCCAGGCTAGGTAGCTTGATGGCCAGAACGCCTGGCCGGCCAGGTGGGCGGCTCAGGAGGGAGCTGAAAGCTGAGTGTGCAGTTTATGTTCAGCCTGGGCCTTATCAGGGAACAAGAGTGGATTTCTTTCCACTCTCTCTTCTCCTTTGAAATAGGGTCTGTTGGGTGAAAAATGGGCATAAGCTCTTACAAGGTTTTACCGGCAGCCAACAGGTATGGAAAGATCTCGAACCTTGTGGTTAGTAAGATCTGAGTTGGAACCACAGCTCAAACCAGCGTAGTAATCCAAGTTAGATTCCTTTACCTGCTCCTTTTAATTAAGAGAATTAATTCATCTCGCATGGCACTGTGAAGAATAAAGAAGCCTTTCCTTAATCCTCTCAGGTATTTGCTTCCACTAATAATTCAGTTTTTTTAGAATAATGTTGATGCCTGTAAACACACTGATAATTGTGTGACTTATGTTTTAAATTATTTAGGACTTGGAGAACCATATTTTCGTCACTCATTTCAATTGAAAAACTTGTGATGTTAGGGTTTTGGTAACAGGTCGCGACCGAAAGGGAAGAAAGAAAACGGAAGGAACTTGACACGGTTTCGATGTGGCGTTGTCAAGTTTGTTCCAGGAGGGCTTAGCCCAATCTGATTTTCTATTGGTCAAGCTTACCATCAATCGCACCAATGGTAAATAAACTGGAGACGGAAGCAGGTTGCTAGGAGGCGGGATCTTCCTGTCGCCATTGTTCGGGCGGGATGAAGCTCCGTTTTCTGATAGGCTAAAAGCAGCTTCTCCCGCCTTCTGCCGCCAGCTGCTAAGGGGCGGGACTCCTGAGGTCTTAGGAGAACGGAACGCTTCAAGGCTCGTCCATGCGATTGGCCGGTAGGGGCGGATCTTGTAGCGGATTGGCTTCTGGTGCTGCCCATTGAGTTAGAGTTGCGAAGAGAGGCACGTGAGGAGGCGGTGGCGCTCCGGACCGGGCGCTCGGCGGGAGGAATGAAAGTGGCGGTCTGCCCGGCAGTTGGTCCCGGGTTCTGGGACTGGGGAGCTAAGGGTGGTGGGGTAGTGCCGCTGCTCTTGGTCCTCTCTTGCTGCTTGGTCTGCGGCTCAGGTACCACCCGGGCAGCCGCTGCCAAAGGGGCGGGTTGCCGAGGGGTTATTTTTGGGGGTGACAAGTGGGGAAGCCGCAGAAGGGCGCGGGCCGTTAACTGTACAAGGGGCTGTGGCTCTGCCTAGGGGCCGTGAGAGTGATGCCGAAGAAGATGCTTAGCTTGCGGGTCGGGCCTGAGGGGTCCGGGTCCTGGGGCGGCCCGGGGGAGCTTCTTAGGAGTCTGGAGGCTTTTGGCCGACCGGAAGGGAGGCCTGCGCTGGCCGCGGTGCGGTCCTGGGACCGCGTCCTGATGCAAAGTTTGTGGGATTAAAAGGAAGCCGCCCCCAGGAGCGGTCAGGGTTGGTGGACATCCCATTCAGGCTGCACAGTAGCGAGCACCGCAACGCATATGCTGTTGGGATGCAGGGCTGGCTAACGGACAGAATTGCAGCCAGTTCTAGGGTCTAGCCCATCACCAGGCTTGCAGAGTCCTTCCACCCAGGTTGCATTCAGCAGCGATGGCATCCGTGGCTGGTTTCACTTCTTCCCTGGAAACGTGATCTGGGTTGGGGATGGGCGGTGGGGGCATTTGGCTATTTGGACTGGGGAGGAAGGAGAGCCTGGCTGTCCCGTTCCAATGCTGTGAATTTTCCGGTTAAACACACCCTCTTGTAGACGCACAACAGTGAGATTTCCAAACTTCCACTGGAGGGAGTGTGAATCAAGATCATCTTATCTCCTAAACACACATTACAGCCCTGTCGCCTCTGCGTGGTGCCTGCCTGCCTGTCTGTCTCACACACTCAGGATTATCTGCAGCTGCAGCTTTAAGGTGGCCCCAGAAGTCTCGGCCTGTTTTTTTTTTTTTAAGATTGAGGAGTAGGTAACTAAGAAGGTACTTAGGTGGGGGTCAGGGCTCTAAATGGGATGGTTAGGTTGTGGGGCATCAAGGGAAAGAAAGTATGCCAAAATGCTGCTACAAAGTAAGCCCCGGATCAGCAGAGAGGCGTGTTTACTCCAATTTGGCAAGTCTGCGTGCAGTTGATTACAAAGGCGTGCCCTGCAGTGTTCGGTGCCAGTTTTGTGTAGTTTCTTCTGGTCTTTCTGCTGACTGCTTTTAATTAACTACTTGGAGGGGACTTGCTGCTGTATCCCTAACCTGTCCATATAGCTCAGTTGCCTTAGCTGCTGGTCTCTGCCTGCTACTATTTTCCTATCTTGATTTACATCCTAGATGCTTCCCAGTGTTAGTTGCAAAACCTTTTGTTGCTTTGAAAAATTGAACAAGGTCTTTGATGTTACTTTGCGTATCCTTATATGATTAGCAAGCGTGAGCATTCTTCCATAATTATTAGCTGTTTTAATTTTGCATATAGGCTTACATTTTGAGTGTGTGTCATCTTTGTTCTTGGCCTCTTTGTATATTTATTGCGATTTCTGAAGACTTCCAAAGTGTAATAAGCTTTTACATACATATATATAAATATGTATAAAGGTTGTATATTTAAAAATATCTAGCTTTGAAGAACTTAATTTGTTCTGCCTTTTTAAAGGTTTATTTATTTATTTATTAAAGATTTATTTTTTTTTATTAGTTTTTTATTGGAAAGGCGGATATACAGAGAGAAGAGACAGAGAGGAAGATCTTCCGTCCGATGATTCACTCCCCAAGTGAGCGCAACGGGTCGATACTATGCCGATCCGAAGCCAGGAGCCTCTTCCGGGTCTCCCACGTGGGTGCAGGTTCCCAAAGCTTTGGGCCGTCCTCGACTGCTTTCCCAGGCCACAGGCAGGGAGCTGGAAGGGAAGCGGGGCTGCCGGGATTAGAACTGGCGCCCATATGGGATCCCGGGCATGCAAGGCGAGGACCTTTAACCACTTGCACCACCGCGCCGGGCCCTATTTATTTATTTATTAAAGATTTAATTTTTTTTGTTGCAAAGTCAGATATACAGAGAGGAGGATCCTTCATCCGATGGTTCACCCCCCCAAGTGACCACAATGGCTGGTGCTGTGCCAATCCAAAGCCAGGAGCCAGGAACCTTCTTCAGGTCTCCCATATGGGTGCAGGGTCCCAAGGCTTTGGACTGTCCTTGACTGCTTTCCTAGGCCACAAGCAGGGAGCTGGATAGGAAGTAGAGCGCCGGGATTAGAACCGGCGCCTATATGGGATCCCAACATGTTCAAGGGGAGAACTTTAGCCACTAGGCCGTCGGGCCGGGCCCATGATGTCAGTTTTAACATTGCATTTCAGTCAGTTTTATTTTTTAGCATATAATGTTGGATAATTTGTTTTTAAAGATATATTTATTTATTTTATTTGAAAGGCAGAGTTACAGAAAGAAGCAGCGAGTGAGATCTTCTATCTGCTGGTTCACTCCTCAAATGGATCAAGGGACAGAGCTGAGCCAATCCGAAGCCGGGAGCCTTCTTTCCCATGCAGGTGCAGGAGCCCAAGGACTTGAACCAGTCTTCACTGGAGCTATATCATAGTGGAATAGCCAGGACATGAACTGGCACCCAAATGGGGTACCAGACCCACAGGCAGTGGCTTATCCTAACATGTTACAGTACCATCCTGGAGAATTTTTAAAGTTTAAAACTATGATACTTTTTCTTGGCATTAAGTTTTTTTGAATTGTTTGTGCCATTGGGAGATCTTGAAAGTAGTAATGAACATTAAAAGATGCATTGTTATAGTATTTGATGTTGTGGGAGAGAATGTGTTAGTAAGTGTGAATCTTCTGTCTTGTGTATTTCTGCTTGGATTTTCAAAGTACACTTCCCTGGGTCTGTGTTGTGGTATAGCGCATGAAATTGCCTTTGTGACACTGGCATACAGTTTGAACATTGATTCAGGTCCCAGCTGTTCCATTTCCGATCCAGCTCTCAGCAGATGGCTTGGCAAAAATAGTGGAAGATAGCTTTAGTGTTTGGGCCCTAGTTGGAGACCCAGATAAAGCTCCTGGCTCTTGCTCCTTGCTTCTACCTGGCCCAGCACTGGCCATCAAAACTGACCAGCAGCTGTCTTCTCTGTTTCAGAAAGTCTGACTTTCAAAGTAAATAAATAAATAAATCTTAAAAATAAAAATTTCCCAAGGGCTGGCATGGTGGTACAGCATGCTAATCCTCTGCCCTGTAGTGTCAACATCTATATGGGCAGCAATTTGTGTCCCAGATCCTTCATTTCTCATCCAACTCCCTGCTTGTGGCCTGGGAAAGCAGTCGAGGACGGCCCAAAGCCTTGGAACCCTGCTCCCATGTAGGAGACCTAGAAGAGGCTCCTGGCTTCAGATTGGCTCAGTTCCAGCTGTTGGGATCACTTGGGGAGTGAACCATCGGAGGGAACATCTTTCTCTCTGTCTCTCCTTTTCTCTGTATATCTGCCTTTCCAATAAAAAAATTAATTTTTCAAAAAAGTATTTGTTTATTTAATAGGCAGAGTGACAGAGAAAGAGGGAGAGAGAATCTTCTATCCCTTAATTTGCTCTCCAAATGGTTACGATGGCTGGGACTGGTCAAGGTCAAAGCAAGAACTAGGATTTCCATTCTGGTCTCCCACATGGGTGGCAGGAACCTAAGTACGTGGATTATCATCTGCTGCCTCCCAGGCACATAAGCAGGGAACTGGGTCAGAAGTGAAGCAGCCTACACTCCAACCTGGGCCAGCACAACCAGTAGTAGTTTAACCCACTGTGCTGCAACACAGGCTCCAGAGAATAACCTCTGATCCATACATGTGGTGGGTTTCCTGTTGGCTTGTTGGGAAGACAAGGGTTAACAGAACTGTGAAAAGGTTTCTTCTCATATGAATAACAGAACTTCTTGAAAATACAGATTACTGCTGGATTAAAGATTAGTGAGAAATTGATAGTATGTCAAATCCAAATTTTAAAAACAAAATTCTAGGGCGCGGTGCAGTGGCCTAGTTGCTAAAGTGCTCACCTTGAACGCCCAAACACTAAAGCTATCCCAGCCTTGAGTGCACCGGGATCCCATATGGGTGTCGATTCTAATCCCGATAGCTCCACTTCCCATCTACTCCCTGCTTGTGACCTGGGAAAGCAGTTGAGCATGGCCAACGCCTTGGCACCCTGCCACCTGTGTGGGAGACCTGGAGGAGGTTCCTGGTTCCTGGCAATTCTGGGCTTGGCGCATAGCCTAGCAGCTAAAGTTTTCGTCTTGAACAGGCCGTGATCCCATATGGGCGCTGGTTCTAATCCCAGTGGCCCTGCTTCACATCTACCTCCCTTCCTGTGGGCTGGGAAAGCAGTCAAGGATGGCCCAAAGTCTTGGGACTCTGCCACCTGCGTGGGAGACCTGGAAGAGGCTCTGGGCTTCTGGCTTTGGATCAGCTCAGCTCCGGCCATTGTGGCTGCTTGGGGAGTCAATCAGCAGATGGAAGAGCTTCCTCTTTGTCTCTTCTCCTTTCTGTTTATCTGACTTTCCAATAAAAACAAGTAAATAAATAAATAAATAAAATTCTGGTCCCAGCTTTGTGGCTTTGCAGGTACAGCCAGTGTCTATTTTGGAGGTTAGTTTGAATGTAGGCTGCTCCACTTCTGATCCAGCTCCCTGCTAATGACCTGGGAAAGCAGAAGAAGATAATGCAAGCACTTGGGCCCCTGCTACCCTCCTGGGAGACGTGGAAGAAGCTCCTGGTTCAGCCTGGCCTAGTGCTGGCTGTTACAGCCATCTGGAGAGTGAGCCATTGGGTGGAAGACCTGTCTCTGTAACTCTTTCAAATAAGTATTTTAAAAATAAGAAGATACATTTTTTAGATGTATTTATTTTTATTGGAAAGGCAGATCAGATTTATAGAGACAGAAAGAATCTGCTGGTTCACTCCCTGATAGGTCATGGCAGCCAGAGCTGAGCCGATTTAAAGCTGGGAACCAGGAGCTGCTTCTAAGTCTCTCACATGGGTGCAGTTGCCAAGGCTTTGAGTCATCCTCTACTGCTTTCCCAGACTATAAGCAGAGAGCTGAATGAAAAGTGAGCAGCCAGGACCTGAACTGGCGCTGTATGGGATCCTGGTGCTTGCAAGGTGAAGATTTAGACATTGAGCCATTGCACCGGGCCCAAAGATATAATACACAATTGTAAGACCCACTCTTTAGTGGTTTTAGTGTATTTATAAGCTTGTGCCAGCATGACGAATCATTCTGGAGTATTTTAATGACTCCAGAATGAAACACTGTATAACATTTCCCTCTCTGTTCACTGGCAAAAACCAGCATAAGCCTGCCTGTCTGAAGGTTTCCTGTTCTGGATAGTCATCAGTGGAGTCACTACCCTTTGAGTTTGGGCTTTTTTGATCCGGCTTCCTTCATGTAGGGTGGTGGTGGCAAGAATCTTCCTGGCTGGTGGAGTTCCAGTTTTTCCTCTGAATAATTCCCATTGTATGGAAATGCCACAGTTTGCTTGTCTGCTTTGTGGGCGATGGGCATTAGCTCTACTTTCTGGTTACTGTGGATCATACTTTTTGTGAAACCGTCAGACCTTTCCCCCAGGAGGGCAGTGCCTCACTTCTTCTTTTTTTTTTTTTTTTTTTTTAAGATTTATTATTATTGGAAAGTCAGATATACAGAGAGGAAGAGAGACAGAGAGGAAGCTCTTCTGTCCGATGATTCACTCCCCAAGTGAGTGCAACGGGGAGCACAACGGCCGATGCTATGCTGATCTGAAGCCAAGAGCCAGGAACTTGTTCCTGGTATCCCATGCGGGTGCAGGGTCCCAAAGCTTTGGGCCGTCCTCGACTGCTTTCCCAGGCCACAGGCAGGGAGCTGGATGGGAAGTGCAGCTGCCGGGATTAGAACTGGTGCCCATATGGGGTCCCGGGGCGTTCAAGGAGAGGACTTTAGCTACTAGGCCACGCCGCCAGGCCCAGTGTCTCACTTCTGCTCCAGCAGTGGGTGAGGGCATCTCTAGGACCCCGTCCGTTCCTGCTGTTGTCCCCTTTCTCAGAGCGCTCTCGTTGAGGTTTTGATTTGTACTTCCCTAGGATTAATAAGAGAATTGCCAGTCTTTTCATGTGCATTTGGCCTTTTGTGTATGTTCTTCTGGGAAATATCTGTACCCATTAAAAAATGTAGGTGATTGTTGTATTAGTTCTTTATGTATTTTGGATGCTTAGACATGTGAGATGTGTAATTTGTAAATATTTTCCTCCTGTTTTATGGGTTGTCTTTTCACTTTCTTAATAGTAGCCTTTGGAGTGCAAAATTGACTTTGCCAATTTTCCCTTTGGTTTTTCATGCTTTCTTGTGATAACTAAGAAACCACAGCCTAATACCAAGGTCATGAAGGTTTATGCCAGCTTTTTCTTTTACATTTTAAGGTTATTATTCTTCCATTTAGATTTAAGGCTGAATTTAACTTCAGAATTACAATTAAGCTTCATCCTACAAGCATGATATGGGTCGGTGACTATCAGGGTCTTTGTGTCTGTTGCTTTCACTTGTGAGGGTTTGTTTGAAGCTTTTAAGTTTTTTTTTTTTTTTTAAGGTCAGATATATAGAGAGGAATAGAGACAGAGAGGAAGATCTTCTGTCCGATGATTCACTCCATAAGCAGCCACAACGGCCTGAACTGCGCCAATCTGAAGCCAGGAGCCAGGTGCCTCTTCTGGGTCTCCCACATGGGAGCAGGGTTCCAAGGCTTTGGGCCATCCTTGACTGCCTTCCCAGGTCACAAGCAGGGAGTTGGATGGGAAGTGGGGCTGCCAGGATATGAACCAATACCCATATGGGATCCTGGTGCATGCAAGGCGAGGTCCTTAGCTGCTAGGCTACTGCACTGGACCCTTGAAGTTCTTTTGTTTAGTTGGTTTAAGTCTGTGTTTATACTAAGAATTCAGAGTGATAAAAACTGAAGAGTAGCCTTTAATTAATTGATCAAGTGCAATGTAGAACTCAAGAAGTTCTGGGAAGTAACTTAGACTGTTTTTGATGGGAAGACACTGTGAAGTGGTGAGGGAGTGGCTGGGGAGTGGTGGAGGTGTGGCTGGGGGTGGTCGGGGAGTGGTTGGAGAGTGGTGGGAAGTTGTGTTGTGGAGGGAGTGGTTGGGGAGTGGGTTGGGGGATGGGAGGAAGTGGCCAAGAAGTGGTGAGTTATTGGGGTTATGGTGGGAGAGTGATGGTGGGGTGGTAGGGGGAGTGGTGGGGGAAGGAGTGAGTGGAGAGTCGGTATTGGGGAGTGGTGGTGGGGGGCGTGGAGGGGGAGTGGGTGGAGAGTTGTAGGGGGAGTGATCCCTTTGGAATCTTGAGTTAGCAGAGACTGAGTAAGAAGGTAAACCAGAGGGATTATTTGTCAAACAGGAAATGAAACAAAACAGCTAGAAGAAAGCAACTTGGTAATCTTTAGTATCCCTTTAAAGTACTATATAAAGAACATGTTGTCAATTCTGTACATCCATTTCTCTTAGGAAAGAAACAGAAAATCAACAGATGGGGTGACTTCCATGGCCTTTCTCCCTGTCTCAGCATATGTAATGGCAAAGACTGCAGTCAGACGTGGGTGTGAGCCCCCAGCTTGACTGTAACTTTGGACAAATACTTTAATCTTTCCCAAGTTTCTTCCTTTGTCAAATACGGTTTAGAAGAGTGTCCACCTTATGGTGTTGTTGAGAATCACATGAGGTGCACATAAACGTAACTTAGCAGATACCACATGTGTATCTCTAATGTTTAAATAATCAAATTTGTCAGAAATGGGGCTGGGCTTTGTTTCTCCCATCTCAGTTTTCTTCTTGTCACCCTGGCTGACATTTTAACCTGAGGCTTCAGAAAGTAGCCAACTTAATTCTCTTTCTGAAATGAGTTACAGTTATTAGGCTGTTGGGTTCCATTACGCATAATTCTTGTTTCCTTTCTTCGCATGAAGCTGAAATGGGTGTTGGTAAGATCATGCTTCAGGAATCCCAAGTTTATAGTTTGACTGCCAGCCAACAGTTCTGTTATGAAAACGTGCTCATCCCAAAATGGCATGACGTGTGGACACGGATACAGGTAGGAATTTGGAAGCTTCTGGGCCCCGTGGCTAGAGGGGAACTTCATCACCTGCCCCTTCCATTTTCATACCATTTTTAAAACAAAATGTTGTTGACAACCCTGTCAGGGTTGTGATGACCCTGAATGGTGTTTGCCTCTAGACGTGTTTATGCCAGTTCTATGTACCTCTCTGTCCCAGCTCCCCCTAAGTAGTTTACAGTACTTGGAGCTCTTTCGTTTTCTGAAAGAAACTGCTCGCTTTTCTTTCTTACACACACACACACACACACACACACACACACACGCCCCTTTTCTTTTGTCCAAGGCCAGGAGTCCTTCTTTGGGCTGGAAACTGTTGCCTGGCTACTGTCAGGCATCAGCTCCTGGTCTTGCTGCTGCTGTTGTTGGGTTCCCCCTAAGGTCTTTCAGGAGCCTCTGGAGCTGAAGGTTCCCCTGGGTAGAAGGACTTGGTTCTTATTTCTTTGTACACATGGCTAAGCTGCCTGGTTGTAATAGTGGTTGAACAAAATGTGCCCCTCTAGAAAATGCAGTGGCCGCTGCTCTAAGTGTAGCTGCTGAGAAGGCTGGTGATCGTTCACAGTGGAGAAGGACGTCTATGCTTTGGTGTTTTGTTTTTTTAATTCTCTCTTATATTGTCTGGTACAGAAATCATACTCCATCTGGGACACATTACGCCAACAATGGCTTTGGCTTCTCAGCTGCCATTATGGGGAACATTTTCAGTTTTCTGGGACTGTTTATGACTGGCAATTTTCTTAATATTCTCGACCCTTGCTTTGTATGGTTTCTCTAAAGAGCTGTACTCAGAGTGTGCTCAGCGTGGGCGCCTTTTTTTCCGACACTGTGTTCTGGCCTCACAGGAGATTCAGATCGTGCTAATAGGAAGGCATCCTGTCCCTGCCCCTCTGTGCCCCGGGCAGTGGCTGTGTCATTTGGATGTTTCAGAAAGATGAAGGAATTTGCCCCAAGTTACAGAGCCAGTGAATGGGGTCTGGCTTCAGGAGCTGCCCCGCTGCATGAGGCCTCTGTGGGAGCTGATGTGTCACTGTTGTAGCTGCTTTTGTTTCTGTGTTTGTTTTAAATTTCATTTGTGAAAGGTTAAAATTCCTACCTCTCTTATCCAATTCTCCCTGTGTTACAGATCCGGATAAATAGTTCCAAACTGATTCAAGTCACACAGGTTGACAATGAAGAGAAACTGAAGGAGCTAGAGCAGTTTAGCATCTGGAACTTTTTTTCCTCTTTTTTAAAAGAGAAATTGAATGATACCTATGTGAACGTGGGTCTGTACAGTGCAAAAACCTGCCTCAAAGTTGGGATTATCGAGCAGGACACCATATACAGTGTCATTGTGACGCGGAGTAAGTCTCACCTCTGCTTTTCTGGTGGATTCTGTAGTGAGAAGGGATGGAACCTTGGAGGGTCTAATTAGGGAGGCAGAGAAGTCAGCCTGGGACAGCTCCATTTTAATTCTGGTTATAACCCCAGGGACACCGTGGCTCCCCCACCTGCCACCAGACCCTCTAGGCACACACTTGCAACTGCTACTTCAGGTCATTGTGAGCACCTCCTAGGCTAGAACTGTGAAGGCTTATAGCCTTCCTAATGCTGTCAGGGGCCCTGGGCCACTGTGCCCAGCTCTCTTAAAGTGATTCAGGCCGATGTGGCTCCTGCTTGTGGACACTGCCTAGGGCAGCTGTCCCAATGTGTACAAGCCTTTATCTGAAGATACAAGTGGTTAAAGATGGAAAACCAAGGAAGGGTACAGTTGCACATACTACTTTGTGAGTAAAAGGAGCATTTGTGGATCCATAAATAAAGATGGAAAGCCACTTGCACTGCTGATGGAGGCTTACTATGGGAAACCAGGAGGACTTGTCTCAGATCGCCTCAGAGAACCAGGAGCCTGTTGGCATCCCTGTGGTGTCTCCGTGGGGTCCTGGGATGTTGTGAGTCTTACAACTATTTTGGGGTTTTGCTACAAAACAGAAGGTGTCCTTCCAGTTATGCTGGGAGTCCCCCATTGCCTGATTGCCTGGGATTGGTCTGTTTTGGGAGCTCCTACATCTGATGATCCCTCTTGCTTCTGGTCTGTTTGTGGGCCTCCCCTAGATGCCAGCTCTTGCATGTGAAGGCTGTGGGTGTCTGGTATGCTAGTGCATACCCCTGCTTGGCTCCCCGGGTCCTGGGTGGGATGTGTTAGTGTGTAGGCCGTTCCAGCACAGTGCTGTGTAGTAAAGGCAAGTAGGTGGATATTGTTAGGCTTGGGCAACAACAGCACAAGACTGTTCTCCCGGGTTCCAGGCACTGCTGTGTTGGCGTGTGAGTTGGGCTTCGAAAGCCAGAATGGCAGAGACCCCTTGTGGGCACTCGTGTGAAGTGCTCATGGTCTGTGACTGGGTCCAAGGTGAAGCTTTAACCTTGGCAGCTAAGACAAAATAAATTCTTCAGGAAAGTGCAGGTTAGACAGAGACCTAATTATGCCTTCTTACAGGAAGACTCCTCGGGCTTTGTGTGTAATTTGTGTTGCTGGTCAGGCAGACTGCCTGCCTGTGCGTTACTGTAGCCGACCAATCATGCCAGCATTGTTTTGTCTTCTGTGATGCCTGAAAGCGCTTTGGATCCCTGATAGGCACCAATCTTTCCTTATTTCAGGATTTGATCCCAAGCTCTTCCTCGTTTTTCTCCTTGGACTCACATTGTTTTTCTGTGGAGACCTCCTTAGCAGGTAGGTTCTATCAGGTTTGTGTCCCCACCCCCACCTGACCTGTAGCAAAAAGTTTGTGTGGCTTGGACACGGCCTGTACCTTACTTTTGGTGGTGATTGTTATTTTTCTAGTTGAATAATGTTGGCAGTAACAAAATTCTGCCCATTAGGCTTATGGGTCGTTTGGCTAATAGGAGTCTGGCAGTACTCTGAAGTGGGGGTGGGGGGTGTTGCCGCGTTCTCCCTTGTGGGGAGTTGGGCAAGAGCCCTATAGGCTGATGCATCTCTTCCTGCTGAAGCGGAAGGAAGCAGCTACTCACTTCCTTCCTTTAGGAACCTACTAAAGACAGGCACAACTGGCTGGTATGCACTAACATATAAACAGCTATGCAAACATTGAATGAAGGTGGAATCAACATTAGATTTGTATTCAATAAAAAAGAATATTTATAGAGTGTAGTGAGCACATGGTTACAGTTGGAGGCCCCCATTCTTTTTTTAAAGGTTTAATTTATTTATTTGGAAGGAGAGTTACAGATAGAGAAGGACAGACAAAAGTCTTCCATCTACTGGTTCACTTTTCAAATGGCTGCAATAGGTGGGGCTTGGTGAGCCTGAAGCCAGGAGCCAGGACCGCACCCCCCACCATCATCAGTCCCATTATGTTTCCTGTCTCTTCTTGGAAGACCTTGGTGTCCCTACCTCACTTCAGGGCAGTGTGTTCTTCCCCAGAATGAAGAGCCTTAAAAACTGGGTTGGGAGAGGTGTTGGAGACAGGAGTTGGAGATAAAGCAGAAATTTATTATTGGGAGATCTATCTCTATATATTTTAAAGACATTTCTTTTTATTGAAAGGAAGATTTATAGCAAGAAGAAGAGATAGAAAGATCTTCTACCTGCTGGTTCACTCCTCAAATTGTTGCAGTAGCTGGAGCTGTCGATCTGAAGCCAGGAACTCTTTTTGGGTCTCCCACTTGGGTACAGAGTCCCAAGGTTTCAGGCTGTCCTTTTCTGCTTTTCCAGATCACAAGCTGGATGGGAAGTGGAGCATCTAGAACACAAACCAGAACCCATATGGGATCCCGGTGTTTGCAAGGTGGAGGGTTAGCCAATTGAGCCATTGCACCAGACCCTGCTCTAACTTTATACTTTAAAAAATCTTTTGGGACAGATGTTTGGTGCAGTGGTTAACACTTTTGCATCCCAGAGCAGAGTGCTCAGGTTTCAGTCCTGTTTCTACTGCTGATTGCTGCTTTCTACCAACATGTACTGTGCGGGCAGCAGGTGATGGTGGGAGTAGTTGACTCTGGCACCCATGTGGGACTCCCAGATTGAGTTCTGGGCTCCCTCTGGCTTCAGTCTGGCTCGGTCTAGGCTTTTGCAGCAAATTGGGGAGTGAACCAAAGGATGGAAGTCGTTTTGTTTTGTTGTTGTTGTTTGTTTTTAACTTTCTTTGTTTCTATCTTTCAAGAAAATAAACATGAATCAATAAAAATACATTTATGGCTGGATTATTTGCCCTGGTTTCAGCACTGCCACCTGTGACATTCATGTTAAATATGTAGTCACAGACAAAATTCTTTCTCTGCAGAAGTCCAATTTTCTACTACTCCACTGGGATGAGTGTAGGAATTGTGGCCTCTCTCCTGATCGTTGTTTTCATGCTATCCAAGTTTATGCCCAAGGTAAGTAGCAGGCTCCTCCTGTGTAGTTTAGCTGTCTGGGAGAGCTGAAGGACTTGCTCAAAGAACAGAGCATTCTCGGTGAAGGCTGCCGAGCCTTGTCCTCCTTGTTCCTGCTTTTGAAAGGGACTTTGCCTGCTGCCCTTGGACCCTGCCTACCTGCAGGCAAACTCTTTACTGGAAATCATTTTGCTCAGTGAGAAATTGAAGTTCTAATTACACAGCCAGGCTTTTAAGTCACTTAGCATCTCATCTTGCCAGTGTCCCTGGCAGGCTGTACCATTTTAAACAGAAAGGATATCTTTTGGAGATGTGTTTTTTGTGTATGTGTGCATTTTGAGTAGTTAGAATTAAAAAAAAAAATAGTTCCGCCTGGCTGCCTTTGTGTGTGGAAAGCCTGCGGTATCTTTGCTTTCACTTCTATTCTCTGTTTTAGAAAAGTCCCGTTTACGTCATCCTGGTTGGAGGCTGGTCATTTTCTCTGTACCTCATTCAACTAGTTTTTAAAAATTTGCAAGCGATCTGGAGCTGTTACTGGCAGTACCTTTTAGGTAAGTGTTATCTTGTTGTCTTCCTTCTGTGATCGCTCATAGCATCATGAGAAGATAGTGCCTACTTATGGCAGCTAGTTCATATCCTCTTTATGAACTTTCAAAACTCATGCTTTTTTTTACTTATTTTTAGCCCCTCTACAGTGATCACCTTCCTTTAAATTACAATGATGCTGCTGATGAGACAACTTGAAAATGTGTTGGTGTTTATAAGCACAATGAGTGTGTAAAAGTATGAAAAGCTGTATATGATTTTATTTAGATTTTACCTATAAAGTAATAATCCTTTGGTTTTATATATATAGTAACCTTTGATCTATCCTTTGAGAGGGAATTGATTTGTATTTTTTTTTCTTAAAAGAATATTTATTTGTTGAGGGAGAGACACAGAAAAATCTTATATCTACTGTTTCATTCCCCAAATGGCTGTAATAGCCAGGTGTGGATTAGACTAAAGCCAGGAGCCAGGCACTCCAGCCTGGCCCCTCATGTGCATTGCAGGGGCCTAAGCATGTGCACCATCATCTGCTGCTTTTTCGGGATGTTGGCAGGAATCTGAACTGGGAGCAGACTAGCCGGAACTCAAACTGGCACTCTGTTAACGGGGCTGCAGGTTCACAAGTGGCAGTTTATCCAGCTGTGCCACAGTACTGGCCTCCTGATGTGCATTTTATTTATTTTAAAGTATTTTATTTATTTACAAGGTAGAGCAACAGAGAGGAAGAGAGAAGAAGAAATCTTTCATCTGAATTTGCATTCTCCAAATGGTTTCAAGAGCCTGGGTTGAGCCAGGGCTTGGCCAAGCACAAACCAGGAGTCCAGGACTCCATTCTGGACTCCCAGGTGGGTGGCAGGTACCCAAGCACTTGAGTCATACCTTGCTGTCTTCCCAGGTGCATTAGTAGAAAGCTGGATTGGAAGTACAGCAGCAGGGATTCCAACCAGTGCTCCGATGCAGTATGGCAATAACTTAACTCTGTGCCATAACAGTGGCTCCTAACATGTAATCTTCATGCTTCATTGGAACAAATAAACTTGAGACAACAGAAAGGATAGAAAAAAGGTGTGTGTGTGTCTCCATCCTAAAAATAAAGTTGTGAATAATTGAGTAATAATCTTACCCACTTTCTAGTTCAGCAGGTGAATATATATTGTGAATTTCCTACTGCTTTTCCTGCAAATTGCTTGTACTAGGTCTAGATAAACACTAATGTCTTCTGGTGGTTTCCCTGTAGGCTACATGTTGGCAGTGGGCTTTGTGAGTTTTGCAGTGTGTTACAAGCACGGGCCCTTGGAGAATGAAAGGAGCATCAACCTGCTCACCTGGAGCCTGCAGCTGCTGGGTCTGGGCTGCATGTATGCCGGCATCCAGATCCCACACGTCGCCCTCGCCCTCATCGCTGCTGCACTGTGCACCAAGAACCTGGAGTACCCCGTGCAGTGGCTATACATCACCTACAGGTGACTGTCAGGCAGTGTGACTGGGTCGAAGGTGCATGCGATGTGGGATGCAGGTTGCTGCAGACTGGTTACAGGGCTTCTTTATTAATGCAAGTTATCATACTGTCTTCTGGTTGTTTTACTTCTTGAGCTTTTTTTTTTTTTTTAATGACTCTAGGCATTTGAAAGTGTTTATTCTAGGTATTTTTTATAAAATAAGAATGTCCAGGAAAGCGTCATGTGTTTCTGTTACCACTAGGTGGTGCAAATTACATCCCTTTTTACCCTTTGCCTCCAGTCATCGGTTTTTATTATTTATTTATTCATTTTAAAATATTTTATTATTTATTTATTTGAAAGAGCATGAGGGAGAGGGTGAGAGAGAGAGAGATATTGGGCTTTTCCATCTACTGGTTCATTCCCTGAAAGGCCACAATAACAGCCATGGTTGGGTTAGGCTGAAGCCAGGAGCAGGAATACCATTCAGGCCTCCCACAAGAGTGGCAGGAGCCCAACCAAGTCCTTGGGCCACAATTCATTGCATTTCCCAGTGCATAAGCAGGAAGCTGGTTTGGAAGCAGAACAGCCAGGACTTGTGGTTTTTTAGTATGGGATGCCAGCAGGCAAGTGATGACTTAACTCACTATGCCACAGTGCCTGTCCTCACAATACCAGCTCATCCCTTGCTTTTAGGTCATTTCACCTTGACGCTCTAAGATTGCTCCTAAGACAAAGATAAGTGCTAAGATGTAAGGAACAGCATGTGACGGTGCACATGGAATGGTCATAGGTACTGAGTTACTCTCTTATAGTTAATCAATCCAGTTTTGGAGGGCTAGGTCAGAGGGCCACTGTCTTAGCTCATCTTTTTCTGTTGAGTTTCCATTTATTGGAAAATGAGTATTTGTCACTTATTGGGGAAATAAGCATTTCACATCAGTGAATAATCTTTCATATACTCAGACTTGTCACTCAGTTTTGTGTGTCAGAAGTCCATTATAACTAAAGAGGTCTGTGGAGGAGAGATGGGCGTGATGGCCATTAGGGCTTAGGCTGGCTGCTGTGTGCTTTTCCTGCTGAAGGGAACTGGCGGTAAGGATGCCTGTAGATTATCGATTAACGATTCGTGGTGTTATTTTGGTGAGCACAGAAGGCTGTGTAAGGCAACAGGAAAGCCTGTCCCCCCTCGTCTCCTGACAGAAGAGGAGTATCGGGTGCAAGCAGAGGTGGAGACTCGAAAGGCTTTAGAGGAGCTTCGAGAGTTTTGTAACAGTCCAGACTGCTCGGCTTGGAAGACTATTTCTCGAATCCAGTCTCCAAAAAGGTAACCCCTTAGTCGAGGGTGACAGGCCTTTGTCAGGGTAACTGTGATCTGGAGTCCTAACACAGCTCATGCTTCTAGACCTGCACTGTGGCCTTGGTGTTCCTGTTTCTTTAGAGGTAGGCCAGAGGAAGGGTGAGCAGTCGCCTATTTTCTGTTTTCTGCTTGAGGCTCCATGGACTTCAGCATTAAGTGCAACCTGGATGTGGGAAGAAGCCATGCTCAGTTTCTCCTTGGAAAGTTGTACGCTGCTCCCTGATTCAGTTTTTCTTTTCCTTTTAGGCGGGAGCAGTTGCAGCAATGAATATTTAAAGCTTCTGTTTGGAATCCTGATAATGTAAAATGCCAAAAGGCTGAAAACTCAAATAACTCTGTTACGTGCCTTAATCTCGTCTTCTCAGGAGTGTGATGACTAAGGGAACCCTACAACTTCTGTGGCTGAGAAGGCCGGAGGTGCAGGGCTGCTGGCCTGTGAGCCCAGCATTCCTTTGCTCCTGCTTTTTTGGCTCAGTCTGCTTACCTGGCAGGTAGAAGGCAGGGGGTCTTCACTAGTCTCCACATGTTTGGTGATAGAGGCCAGGAAACACTTCAGTTGAGGCTTATTCTGAAGGAGAAGCAGGAAGGAAAGAGGCAGATCCCCAAGGTTCGTTCTCTTTTCTCTTGCAGATTTGCTGACTTTGTGGAAGGCTCTTTCCACCTCACACCAAATGAAGTATCCGTCCACGAGCAGGAGTACGGCCTGGGGAGCATCATCGCCCAGGATGATGAAGCATCCTCGGAGGAGGATGAGGAGATGGAGGAGAACGCACGGCCGCAGTGGTCTACTCTCACACAGGGCAGCTCCCTGACCTAGTGGCACATACCTCCTGTGCGTTCACCGGCCTTGTGCCTCAGTGGTCCCCATGGCCTGTGACATGCAGTTCTTCCACTTCTGTGGGACAACCCATCCATGGGATTCCTGGGGGCAGTGAATGTCATGCTCGTTTCACCTCCCTCTGAGTCAGCCGTCAGCTGCTCGCCTGGCGCCCTGGCCATGTGCCGCAGTGCCTCCACTGAGGGGAAGCCACACATCCGAGCCACCTTTACTTCTGCTTTTATTTCAGTGGCTTCAGCATCGTCCTTGATCGGACTGTTTCAAGAAGAAAATGAATTTCTGTCTGTCTGATTTTTCAAGTGCAGATATCTTTCAGAAAGTGTAGCAAACTTGTGTTCTGGAGCCTGCAAGTCCTCCAGAGTGAGCAGCCCCACAGGCCTGACCCCATTCCTTAGCAAGGTTGTGGGAAGGTGCGCACTGCAGGCTGGGCTTGGAGTGACTTCCCACAAGGAGGAGCAGGAGTCCTGCTCGCTGTTAGGAAAACTCCCAGTGGGTCCTCTGTATGTGTGGGGTCTCTCAGGATGTTTTTTCTATTTCACTTGGAATTCTATCATAAAATATTCACTTGGCTCCCTTCCCTCCCCTCTGTGGCCCCCTTTGTCCCTGCAGGCAGGACTGTTTCCCTGCCCACGTCTGAGTACAGATGAGAATGTCTTCCATTCTTCCACACCCTTTCCTTTGGCTTGTGCCATTTTTTGTTGCCAGCTGAGATATGTTCTGTGTAGGGGATTTTAAGCTTTTTGCAAATTGCTCATTTTTCTCATCATTGGACCCCACATCTTTGAGTTGCTAAGGGAACAAGAAATTCTGTTTCCTTCCCCTTCATTTGTTTACCCATCCCTTTTAGTCCCTTTCTCCCCAGAGTGGGAGTCCTTTGTGAGTCCTGAGACTCTGAAGGGGCCCTGGGTATGCAGCTGCTGTCTGTGGGACTGCCTGCTCACCGCCTGCCCCCTGCCCATGGTGCTGCCAGCACCCAGCCCTCCAGGTTGTCTCCATGTCTCATCCAACCTTCGGGAACAGACACGTGTTCCTCTGAACTTGTCACACTTCCTCGCACTTCCATTTCTGACCAGAGGTTCACCCTGCCTTTGATGACCATAGTGTTAGTCCTAGATTCTTCCTTATCAGCCAGCAGTGCGATTTATGAGGGAGCAAATTCCTCCATATTATTCGCTTGGTTCTCTTTGTGCTCTTCACCCTTGAGCTGTGGAGGAGGCGGTGGTTACTTCAGCTGGGGCAGCAGGCCCCATGGCAGGTGCTCAGCCTCACTCTTCCTGGCTTCCTGTGACGGTGGAGTAAGCAGGTTGATTTTGTCTTGAGCACTGTAGCGACTCCTTTGTATGAGCTGTTGAGTGCACCCTTCTGAGAGGCCCTTGGCTCCCCTGCTGACTTGTGGAGCATTAGCTCAGAGCCTCCTCTCCAGGGGGCTGGTTGGCAGTTTCCACTAGTATCTCCCACAGCCTTAAACTGTCCCAGAGTGACAACTACCTCAGCTGACAGCAGACCTAGAGTTGGAAGCCGAGAGTGAACAGGGTCCAGGCAAATGCCAGGAGTTAAACTTGCAGGATTGAAGGGCCTTTATGTTAGGAAATCTTTATGCCTTTGTGAATTACGTAAATGGTAAAAATTTGCTCTTGTACACAAAACTGTTACAATCCCTGGAATATACTATTTTTTACTATATAGGGATCACAACCTTGCGTTTGTGTGATATGTTGATTTGAAAAAAAAAAATAACTCAGCTGTGTAAGTGGTCTTAGGATCCCTGGAGACTTTGGCGCCCTGTCCAGGGAGGAGGTGCTGTGCGGGGAGTGGGAACCGGGCTCAGGGCTGACTTCCCTGTCACTTTTGTGAGCAGGAGAGTGGTCGTCTCCTCTGTGCGGTAAAGTCCTTGTGAGATGTGATTGCCATCTCAAGACCAGGTTTTTTTCCTCTGTGTTTGAACTTGGAGTAAGCTTACTTCTGGCACATGTGCAAAGGTTGGCAGTGGAGATGTCCTGAGAGTGCAGGATGGGGTTGGCCAGTGTGCTCTGTGCCCCCGCCCTGCCTGCCTTCATGGCTTTGCCCAGGTGCTTCAGGGCTGCTGCCACCACCTAAAATGGCTCAGTTCTATAAGCCGTGGGGAACGGCTCTCGCCTGCCTCCCAGCCACTTAGTTGGCTGGTTCTGGCCCTACTTGAACCCCTCTTCAGGCAGTCACAGCTCTTGCAATTTCAGCAAAGCTCCAGTTCTCAGATGGATTTCATCAGCAAGGATTGAAGGGATGACCGTGGGGTGAACTGGATGCTGGAGCCATGTCTGCTGCCATGTCAGCGTCTTGCTCAGGGACTCAGGGTCTCATTAGCATTGGAAATCTATCTCCCCTTGTTGTTCAGCCTGAGTTGGTACAGAGCACCTGCCTCCCTTTAGTGAGACTACAAGATGCAACTGGCCAGCAACAGTTTACTTGTCCCCTTACTTTGTTTTCCCAGGGCACTGACAGAACACAAGACTGAAAAGCAGGGAAATAACTGTGTTTCCTGCTCATCTGTCCACCACTGCCTCCTGTCAAAACCAAATAATTTCTTGCCCCCAACTTCTCCCTTCCCCTTGTTAATGTTTGTTTCATCTATTACAAAGGGGATTTTGCTCTCGCCACCTCCCAACCCCCATTCCATTGTATGTGAACGTGTCCCTCTCTCAGGCCCAGCTCTCCTGCCAACTACATCCTGTTTGACCTAGTCCTCACTGGACACGGAAAATAGTGGCTTCATAAATGAATGGGCCTAGGTAAGCTGGATGGGCACCCAGCTCCTGACTAGCCACCCCAGGAGAGGGTTAGACTATGTAAGCGTCCTCAACCTTTGTGGTGTTCTGGGAGAAAAGGTGGACACCTGTGTAGAAATGGTTTCTAGCTGTGTACTCATGGTTCTTCTAATTGAGCAGGGAAGGATAAAGTAGGAGGAAAATGAAGAAAATACCCTTGTGGTACTTGTAAAGGTTCCAGTCTGACATAGGAAACAGTAACCTTTACTGGAAGGCCAAGGATTGTGTTTGGACCCAGGGAGGACAATTTGACAGATTTATGATGCCCTGGATGCTCTAAGCAGCGAAACCAGGTAATACAGGAAATAGCCATCGCACAAGGCATGTGTGCCTAGACTGTTTGCTTCCGTTTCTATGTAGCAGAAACTGGTCTTCTTTCCCCAGGGCACCTGTCCAGTTGTGGTGACCCAGAGGAGTCTTTTGGTGACTCAGTCTACAGATTCAGGTTGCCGCTGAAGTGGATTCAAGGCGGCAACTCCCTTCTGAAGGATGTCTGGTGCCTTTTATGACGGGCCATAGCCTGCTGGGAATAAGCCACAGAGTGGTGCCAGTGTGTACTTGCAGCTGTGGTCACACAGACCGTCCACGTGTGGGGCGCTGAGCTGTCACCCCACCGCTACACCCACGTGTGCCATCTTCCTCCTCCACATCATGGATAACTTGAAGATGGAGCTGCCCTCTCTGAACCTACCCCCTGGCAGGAGCAGCATTCTTAGGTTCACATAGGAGACAGCTGGTGACAAGGGTGTTAGGAGGTGTTACAGCCTGCAATCACCACAGCTTTTCATGTTGATGGAATTGGGGTTGATTATGACAGGGCTAAGAAATGAGTGCATTGTAGCCTGTGGGTAATGCCTTAGTGTTATGTAAATAATATATTTGTCATTTATGTATTTAAAATAAATGTTTATGAATGTCTGAAAGAAACAAAATTATCAGGGATGGCTCTTTGCCATAGGTCTCATTTTCACCCTTCTTTCTGTAAGGAAAAAAAATAAGGTCTTAATGTATTTTTTGATTCGTATTATATAGTTTGTAAATGGTCCCAGTTTTAATAAAGTTCTTGAGACTATACAGTGGCCCCTCTTACTGCGCATGTGTTTCCCCTGCATGGCCCCCTTGTTTTCAGGTTATCTGCTGTTCCCCCCTCAGCTGATTTTTCTCATGAGATGGTTTTGAATGCTGCTGCTGTCTCCCCTCCTGTGCTTGGATTGGGTGATACCGCAGGGTGCTGAGTCTTTACTAGGGGGTGTTCTTGCAGAACTAACTAGTTGTGCTACAGTTTACTCCTGGTCCAGGAGGCTAGTTTTCTCGTGCTTGATTTCTTCCCTGTCTGTATGACACAGATGTCGGGATGGGAAGATCTGTGTAGATCCAACTGTAGGTGCCCATGGGGAGAACATTGTGGAGGAAGAAGCAGGATTATAGGGAATGTTGGGAGCCATGGAACAAAAACTTCAATTTTGGGAGCTGGTGTTGTACAGTGGGTTAAGGCTTGAGACGCCCACATCCTGAGGTGGAGTCCTGTCCTTGCTACTGACCCAGCTTCCTGCTGATACACTTTGGGTGTGTGTGTGATGGGAGGCTCAGGTATTCAGGTCCCTGCCACCTGCCTGGGAGACCAAGATTGAGATCGCAGTTCCTGGCTTCACCTTATTCAGTTCTGACAACTGCAGACACTTTGGGAGTGAAGCAGTATGTGCAAGAGCTTGTTCTCTCACTACTATACCTTTCCAGTACATAAATATTAGGAAAAAAATTTTTAGTCATCTATGCCCAGCTTCTACAGGAGGTGTCTAGTATCTCTCCTTTTATTTGCTCTTGGAATCTTTTGTAGCATTTGCATTAATTTTGTACCTGTCTTATGTTCTCAGTTATTTAAATGGCATAAAAACCCATTGTCTGTTTCTGAAAAGAGCCAAATAATTTAGACTGTGTGTAATGACGTAGATGAATGCATGCTGATGACATCTTTTCCTTTTTTTGTTTCTATAATTACTAAGCAAATAATTTAAAAAAATTATTTTAAAGGCAGAGTGACAGACCTTCCATCTGCTGGTTCATGCCCCAAATGACCACAGCAGCCCACTGAATCCAGGAACTCCATCCTGATCTCAGCATGGGTGGCAGAAGCCCAAACCACGTTCTGCCTTCCCAAATACATTAGTAAGAAGTTGGGTTAGAAGCAGAGTACTGGGATTTGTGATTGACACACTATATGGGGATGTCACCATTGCAAGCAACTGTTTAACTGACTGTGCCACAACACCAGCCCAACTTCTAGGTTACTAAGGCATAGGTGGTGATCACTAGTGGTTGAATTAGTAAAAAAAAAAAAAAAAAGCATGCTTGTGGAGTGCACTAAATCTTAGGATTTTGGCGAAGGTAGGTATGTGAGGGAGTGACAGCCATCATGCTTTCACACAGGAATCCTCTGAAGGTCTCATTAGAGCACAGCTCTGGGTTGAGTTGGCAGCATTGCTTGAGAAGGTGGCACTTCTCATCTGCTCTTGGCTGGGCCTGGTGCAGCTGGTCTGTGTGCCTCATTTTGAATATCAAGGATATAAAAGCACTTGGCTTGTTGCCCACTGTGCAGTAAGTGCTTGATAAATGTTAGTAATTGGCAACAAATTATTTTTTTAGGATTGTTTTAATTGTTTGAAAGAGCGACTGAGAGTGGGAGACATTCCATCTGCTGGTGTATTCCCCAAATAAGCACAATAGCCAGGTCGGCCATGCTGAGGCCTGTAACCAGGAACTCCATCCAGGAAATCCCACAAGGGTGGTAAGAACCCAAGCATTTGGGTTGTCTTCCACTGCCTTCCCAGGTATTGGCAGGGAGCTGAAGTGGAAGCAGAACACCTGGGACTTGAATTGTCCCTGAATTATGAGACTACTGTAAGTGTTGGTTTAAACTGCTACATCACAATGGCTGGCCCCAACACCAGATAAGTTATGAAAACAAACAGTTTCCTTATTATATATGAAAACTTACATTTTTATTTTGCAACATCTATTTAATTCTGAGAGGCTCAATGACAGACTGGTTTAATAAAAATGCTGCCCTCCCAACTTTGTCAGGAAATCAACCCCAAAGGATTTGGAAGGTTTGCTGCAGCATTTTCTTGCCAGCTTTATGGAAGTATAATTATATGCAATGAAATCAGTCCATTTCAGGTGAACAATTTCAGTTTTGTGTCTAAAGCAGATCATGGTGCAAAGCCCATTCCTTTGCTACCTCCTCCATTCTCACCCGCCTCTTCCCCACACTAGTGGTTGACAGATATCAAGAGCCCAGCTGACTTAGGTGTATAGTTTGCACTTTGTTAATTTAGGGTAGCACACTTGTTCCATTTTGCCCTGAACTTTCTTGGTTTTAGAGAAAAAAAAATATCCCACCACAGGTCAAAGGCAGGTGAATAAAGTTGGTCATCAGAACTGTGACACTCAAGCCATTGTTTTAAAGCCTGAGGTTGCCATCTCCTTTCTTTGAAAGGCAGAGTGACAAGATATCTCCTATTCATTGGTTTCCTTTCCAAATAGCCACAATAGCCAGGGCTTGGGCCAGTCTGAAGCCAGGATCCTGAAACTCCCTCCTTTTACAAGGTAGCAGGGGCCTTAAGTATTTAGGCCATCTTCTGCTGTGTGTCCAGGCACACTAACAGGAAGCTGGATCAGAAGTGGATGAGCTGGACCCAGTGCTGACCCCTTGCCTTGCATGTGCCAGGATCCCATGTAGGTGCCAGCTCATGTTCTGGCTGCTTCACTTCCCTTCTTGCTCCCTGCTTGTGTCTTGGGAGTTCAGACAAAGATGGCCCAGGGCCTTGGGATCCTGCACCTGAATGGAAGACCCAGAAGAAGCTCCTGGCTTCAGATCAGCTTAGCTCCGGCTGTTTCAGCCACTTGGGGATTGAGCCAGTGGATGGAAGATCTTTCTGTTTCTCCTTCTCTCTGTAGGTCTGACTTTCCAATAAAAATAAATCTTAAAAAAAAAAATAAGTAGATGAACCACAGTGCCAATCCTGATATCTCCATTTTATTTTTTAAGAGTCACTTCTCTCAGAAGAGCAGCACATGGTAGGTGCCAAGATTGGTGAATGAGTAGACACCCAGATAACCCTTGTTATCCTGGACCAGAGGACACGAGACCTCGTTTCTGAGTTCTGCCAGTGGCGTGGCCCTGGGAAAGTGGGTTTCTTGTACTCAGTCTGCTTTTTGCATTAGAAAATTGTGGATCTGTGATCACTTCTGCCTCCCAAACGCTGACACTGCTCCACCTATATGTGGGACTGTGTTTTGATGTCACTTCCACTTAGCTTTCTCTTTCTCTTACTTTGCTTTCTTTCCTCTCCTTCAAAGTAGATCAATAAATTACATAAGGGCAGGTTGATAATGGAACTGCTGATGGGCCAGGCTTGTGCAGAGTGCTTCTATGACAGCAGTGGAGTTTGGACCTCAGACCAGGCAGCCGTGGCTGGGAGACAGGAATCAAGCCTTCAGTTTCAGTTAAGCTCCTGTAATCACCTCATTTGCTCCCTGTGCATGGCTACCATAGAGGATGATAGGCATTGGGGGCCTGCTGCTTTGGGATTTTTCCTGGGTAGATGAGGGGGATGTCTGGAAAAATAGGACTTTATAGGCAGCTTTTTTGTCTATCAGAGGGAGCACTTCCTGCTGGGCTAATGTCTAGGAAATAGCATCTTGGGGTCTTATTCAGTAGCTTCGTGCTGAAGAAGGCTTCAAATTAGAAACCTCAGGACTGGAGCTGCAACCTGCAGCAGGTTCGGGACCAGAATACTGCCCCTGTCCCTATAGGGTCCTGGGCTGGGTTGGAGTACCCTGGGCACATCGAATGACTTCTTGGAGTCTCATGTCTACTCTCACCTTCTGTTTACATGGAGTGTCTGTGCCACCTCCTCTAACAGTGGTGCTCTTCAGTGAGATGGTTCAGGTGGGTATCCCATAAAACTGTGGAGTATTTTCACTAACCGTTCTCATCTTTGGGTCTCTATAGGGTCTGGTTCATAAAGAAAGGAGAGTGAAGAGGACTGGGTTATTTCATCTGCTTGTCTCCTCTCCCTCGCCCCTGCCCCAGGTATAGGAGAAATAGTGTATTTTGCAGATAGGAAGACTGTAGATCTGCCTTCCTCCTGGAACAAAAAAAATCCCTAAATTATTTGGAGAGAAAATATTGTCCTTGGGTCTAAATCCCATTTCTCCTGCACCCATGTCTATATGCTGGGGACAATGAGTAAGAACTCAGGGTCTCAGCCCAGAGCCAGCCAGATACGCTTTTTCCTGCATCTCCCTCTGGGGCAGAGGCTTGGGAAGGGTTAAGTAGCCACACCCTCAGCAGGAATAGCCTCGGACTTTGTGCTGAGCTAGCTGAGCAGCCATTCGGTCCTCTCTCCAGCAGTGTGGCTGGCGCAGGGGCCTGGGCTGGAGGAGGCAGCACAGAGGACAGTCGGGAGAGTGGATGCCAGCGCAAGGAGGTCCAACTTGAAACCATGGACAGCTCCCGGTAGCCGAGCTATCTGTCTACCTGAGAGCCTATGCCCTCTCCACCACTTCATGCCACTCTGGGTCTTCAGCCATCACTCTCCAAGGGCCAGTGAAGCTGCAGTTTAGTTCTAGCGTCAGGTGAGTCCTGCCTTGACCTGTCCCTCTTCCTCTCTCACACCTTGGGGTGCCCTTTCTGGGGACCTGCCCCTTTCTTCCTTTCCTCCTCCCCCATCCAGCCTCATTCTTGCTCCCCTTAACTCCAAATGCAGAGAAGAGCCACCCCCGCCCTGGCCACCTTTTGCTCTTTGCCTTTCCCTGCCCAATCCCCTAAAGACAGTTTTCTCCCTCTACCCCCTGCTTTCAATCTGGAATGTGGGAGGTAATGATGGTGCTTCTGGTACGGGGACAGTGTGAGCATCAGATGAATATGTGCACAGGCTCCAGAGCCCTGCCTGGCCGACAGTAAATGCTATGTGACTCCAGAGGCTGCTGTTGTCACTCTCCTTGCTTCTTCCTCGCTTGTTCCTTAGTCGTGTATCTCTAGGAATTGACCAGAGCTTAGGGAGAGTTGGGGGTGCTGAGTCTTGTGTTCCTGTCTCACACCACCTTCACACCTGCTCCCTTGCCTGTGCCCTCCCCACCCAGGTTCAGAGGTGTAGGAGGCTGTGCCTCTTCCATTCCTGACTGGGAGTGGCATTGACCATTGTACTAGCTGTTCTGCCCTTCACCTGACCACACTGCCTGCTTGCTCTGTCTCTCACAGGGAGGACTGCAAGAGGGCTGGGCTTCCTCTGGGACAGAGCACCTGCCACGTACCCTCTGCATGGAGACTGAGCCCCCCCAGCCCTCCCCATACCTCCAGGCCCACTCCTGTTGTCTACTAAAAACCGGGGTGTGTCCCTCTAGGGGCAAAGTCTATGCAAAGCACAGGGTTTACAGGAATGAGCATAAAGCTGGCAGTGGGGAGACAGGGACAGGCGGGCAGTACACACACTCTTCCTTGTAACTACTTGTTAGTTGGGTCCAGTTTCAACCCCCCCACCCCTCCATCTTTCTTGGAGGGCTCCTGTGCTTGTTTCCCTCTTATTTGTTGCCTTGTCCACTCTATCCTCCAACTTAAAAATGAAGCTCACTGTGTTAATGACATGGGAGGCGAGAACTTGGGAAAGTCTGATGTGGTCCTGGATGGGTTGAGTGATGGGATATGAGAGGAAGTGTGCTGAGAGAAGTAGGGATCTGGGAACAAGAGTTGGGGGCAGACAAGTCTGGGAACTGGCCAGGGTTTTGGAGCAGGCTGGGCACAAAGCTGGGCTTATGCTCTGTTTGCCAGCAATTCCTCTGCTCCCCGAGCCACTGCCACCAAGTGCCTTCCTTCCCCTGGAGGGGCTGAGGCAGGTGGTGCTTGTCGTATTCCTCCCTTCCCCCCATTCCCACCCAAACCTGACCCAGGGAGCAAAGGAGGACCTACCAGCACGGGCCAGGTTGGGAACCTTTTGTGGATCAGGGGCTCCCCTGAGCTGTCCCCCTCAGCAAAGCGTTATTCCCTTTAAGTCACAGGATCTCAGTCCCTGTGAACATGCCTCTGGAAGGTTCTGTGGGGGTAGAGGACCTTGTCCTCCTGGAACCCCTGGCCGAAGAGTCCCTGATTAAGAACCTTGAGCTCCGCTACACACACAAGGAGATTTATGTGAGTACGGCGTGGGTGCCCCCATTGGTTGCGTGCCCCTCATGCTGGAGGGTTAACGGGCTCCCACTCCCTACGCCGACTCAGTCTCATCCCCTTCCCCTTCTCCTCCCTCCTGGCTGCAGACCTACATTGGCAATGTGGTGATCTCAGTGAATCCCTACCAGCAGCTGCCCATCTACGGCCCAGAGTTCATTGCCAAATACCAAGACTATACCTTCTATGAGCTGAAGCCCCACATGTGAGCCCAGTGACCCTGCAAAAGGGCTTCTCCTCCCAACACCTGTCTTTTTTGTCTCCTCTGGGCCACACAGGGTGGGTGGCTGAGCCTGGGATCTGGGGACTGAATGAAGGACATCATTCACTTGCTCCTCCTTTCCTATAAGCTATGCATTGGCCAATGTGGCCTACCAGTCCCTGAGGGACCGTGACCGAGACCAATGTATCCTCATTACGGGCGAGAGTGGCTCTGGGAAGACAGGTGAGGCTCCTGGGGGGAGGAACCCCTGGTCACCCCTGGCTCACCCCTCCTCACCTTGACTCTTTCCTGGGTAGGCCTAGTCCTGACCATTCCCCCCCCACCACCCCACCAAATCTGGAAGTCTCCCATTCCTCTCCTTCTGAGGGGTGTGAGGTGTGGACGGATGTGAGGCAAGGCTGAATAGGGGGTGGGGACTCACATGTGGGCTTCCTGCCATGCAGAGGCCAGCAAGCTGGTGATGTCTTACGTGGCGGCCGTCTGCGGCAGAGGGGAGCAGGTGAACTTGGTGAAGGAGCAGCTGCTTCAGTCCAACCCTGTGCTGGAGGGTGAGGAGCCTGCCCCCACTCCAGGGCCCCCAGACATCCCAAGGACCGAAGTCCCCATTTCCCCTCAGCCACCTCACCACCCTCTCTCTTCATTCTCTTTAGCCTTTGGCAATGCCAAGACCATTCGCAACAACAACTCCTCTCGCTTTGTGAGTAATGGGTGGATGGACTGGTGGCTGGAAAGACAGGCGGATGGATGGGTGGGCAGGCGGGCACATGCATTGCCAGGGGAAGGAGAGAAAGGATCCTGTTGGGTCTCTCTTGGCAGGGAAAATACATGGACATTGAGTTTGACTTCAAGGGCTCTCCACTGGGTGGCGTCATCACTAATTGTATGTATTCCCTGCACCCCCTTTCTTCCTGCCCCCACCACCTCATGTGGTGGTCCCACCTCTGACTTCCAGTCTGCTAACAGAGACTTGCCAACCCCGGGTGGGGCACAAACTTGAGAGTCCACTTTGTCTGCCACGCCTTCATGCCCCCCTCACAAAGTTGCTTTTTGACCCCACCAGATCTGCTGGAGAAATCGCGAGTGGTGAGGCAGCTCCAGGGAGAGAGGAACTTCCATATCTTCTATCAGCTTCTGGCAGGAGCCGATGCGCAGCTGCTGAGTATGTGTCCATGCCGCCTGCATGGTCAAGCCTCCCCAGCTGTGGTTTTCTATCCTCCTACCTTCCCAGATCCCTTCCTTGGACCTCAGCCCCTCACTTCTCATTGTCAGCAGGGTAAAATGCCTCTCAGCTGACTGACATACCCCGAATCCTGGGCTTAGCTCAGCCCTTCTCATCCCTGGCAAAAACATGGCCTGGATTCATGTATTAAAAGGGAAATCTCTCCTTTGTGCCTGCCAGGCACACAGAATATATGGAGATGAGAACTACAGTCCTAACACACATGCTGTTCATTTGTGGAATCTTCAGGCGAGACATTCATCTGGTTAGGGGACGTGTCACCTGTCTGGGCTCAGTGAACGAGTTGCCCAGGCCAAGGGGGGAGTGTTGAGGCTTGAGTGGGCAGCAGACCTCTGTTTATCTTTCTTCCCTCACCTTCCCCCTCCCAGAGGTAGAGTTGAGCACCTCTCTTTTTATTGTGTAGGACCCTTGGGGCATGGAAAAGAGGAGAAGGAGACTTCTCTTTCATCAAAGCTGGAGGGAAAAAATCCAATAGTTATGAACTCCCAGACTCTAACTACTTCTTAAAACTGTACTCTGGGACTGGCAAGTAAAGTTGCCACCTGCAGTGCTGTCCTCCCATGCTCCATTTCCCATCCAGCTCTCTGCTAAGCCACCTGGGAAAGCAGCAAAAGATGGCACAAGTGTTTGGGCTGCTGCACTTGTGGAGGAGGCCTAGAAAAACCTCCTGGTTCCTGGCTCAAACTGGCCCAGCTCTGGCTGCTATGGCCATTTAGGGGTGTGAATCAGCAGATGAAAGATCTTTCTTATTGTTTCTCTCTTCCCACCCACCCTCTGCACCCCGCCCCTGCAACTATGTCTTTCAAATAAATAAAGGTAAATCTTGAAAAAAAAAATAACTTAGTCTAGCATCAAAGCAATTAATGGTCATCAAAGGAATTAATGGTCCCCAGAGGAAAGCGGCAGGGAAGACCCTGAAACCGAAAGTGACTGCTGTGAATAAATGACAGAGCCCACCAAGGACAGAGTCTGCCAGCTGTGAGGTCTGGAGCGCTCCAGGGAGCCAGGTACTAATGCTCCTCTCTCTCTCCACCGTCCCTGACCCTCCCAGAGGCCCTTAAGCTCGAGAGAGAAACAAGCAACTACGCCTACCTGAACCAGGAAGCGTCCAGTCCAGGGGGCATGGACGACGCCTCCAACTTCAGGGCTATGCAGGTAGGTGACCTTAGGCTGTGTTCTCTGGGCCCAAGGTTCTGGCTCTGAGGAGAGAGGCATTGGACTGGCACTGGTGCTGATTCTGCCTCTGATGTGGGATTGCTTCCTCCAAGAGCGCCATGACGGTGATTGGGTTCTTAGAGGAGGAGATCCGCCAGGTGCTGGAGGTGACAGCTCTGGTGCTGAAGTTGGGGAATGTGGTGCTGATGGACGAGTTCCAGGCCAATGGGATCCCAGCAAGTGGCATCCGCGATGGCAAAGGTTTGTGCTACCTGACCCTGGAGACCCCTGCCAGGATTGCAGTGGAGCCACTGGCTCTGCTGTCAGATTTCTTCCCATTTAGAGTTCTGGATTCCCAGACAGACTTAGTGAGATCTAACAAAGAGAATGGAACAGCTTTTGAAGTTGGGTAGACCGAGGTCTGGGACATCTCCCAGTATCTACCGATTCTCCTGCTAGATAGGGGGAAAGCATGGTTATCCCAGGGGATTCTCCTGTTCAAGTAGTGAATAATGCAAAGGTCCCCTTCTTCCACCTGTCCCCTACTCCCCTCAGGGATTCCTGTAGGGCCATATTCTGGGTGGACAAGACCCAGGCCCCCACCCTCCTGCCCCTTGCTCCTTGGTAGTTTCACCTGCCAGCTCTGCTTCTTGACCCCCAAGGGGAAGTCCTTCTTGGCCCCCATGACCCTCATGTGTTTTCTTCCTTCCCCAGGTATTCGGGAGATTGGGGAGATGATGGGTCTGAATTCAGAGGAGCTGGAGAGAGCTCTGTGCACGAGGACCATGGAGACCAGCAGGGAAAAGGTGACCACAGCCCTGAATGTCACCCAGGTAAGAAGCCTCCTTCCCCCTGAAGGCACTGCTTGGAGGGTCAGTTTAGTGGCTGTTGCTACACTGATCCTTTGGCCCACCCTGGCAGGCTCAATATGCCCGGGATGCTTTAGCCAAGAACATTTACAGCCGCCTCTTCAATTGGATTGTGAACCGCATCAACGAGAGCATCAAGGTGAGTGGCTATTCTCTCTCAATGCTCCTGGACTACCTTACCTCCTTGCCCTGGTTTCCAGCGTCAGGGTCAGATGCTGCAGATGTAATGATGGAGCCAAGTCTGGCACTGGGGATCCTGTCACCAGCCTTGTGGTCTTTCTGTTTCACAAAGATCCAGAGCTTCACTTTGAGCCAGAAATATCCACACCAGTGCCCACATGCCAGGGTTGAACAGGGACTGGGATGACATTCTGTCAAGGGTAACATGGGCTAGCGTGCAAGCCGGCTGTTCAATTCCTAGACCTGTATTTGAGAAAGTTGAAAACATGATCCTCCCACAAACTCACACACCGTTGTTCATTGAGGTGTGCACAATAGCCTGGAAGTAGGCACAACTCAGGCGCCCATCAGCTGATGTGAAAAAAAGCAAAATGTAGTCCATCCACATGCCACGATGATCTTTGGCTGGGAAAGGAGTGGATGGAGGTTCTGCACTGTGTCATGGATGATTGTGGAGGGCGAGTCCAGAGGAGACTGCATTTTTGCTTATGATTCCACTTCTGTAAAATGTCTCAAATAAGGCAAATCCCTGGAGATGCAAGTAGGTTAATTCTTGAGGTCCAGGAGGAGGGGAAGGGGACAGGAGTAACCTCTGCCTGGGACAGGTTTCTCTTTGGGCAATGAAACTACCCTACACTGAAGTGGTGGTGGGAGTTTTCCCGAATGTTCTATAATATCAATGAATTGTGCATTGTATGTGGATTTTCTTCAGCAAATCTGTGAGTTAGCAGTTATCTGCAGGAATTTTGTCCATTTAGAGGTTATATTTGAAAGACAGCAGGATTTCTGGGGCCCGGCGCGGTGGTGCAGTGGTTAAGGTCCTCGCCTTGCATGCCCGGGATCCCATATGGGCGCTGGTTCTAATCCCGGCAGCCCTGCTTCCCATCCAGCTCCCTGCTTGTGGCCCAGGAAAGCAGTGGAGGACGGCCCAATGCTTTGGGACCTTGCACCCACATGAGAGACCCAGAAGAGGCTTCTGGCTTTGGATCGGCATAGTATTGGCTGTTGCGGCCGCCTGGGGAGTGAATCATCGGACGGAAGACCTTCCTCTTTGTCTCTCCTCTCTGTATATCCGCTTTTCCAATAAAAGAAATAAAATAAATCTTAAAAAAAAAAAAGACAGCAGGATTTCAGTGTAGCCTTGGGGGTAATTCTTAGCCCTTCTAGAATTTAAGCCTTGCATCTGTAAAATGGGAATAAACACATGTCATAAGGTTAAGGGACAGTGCAGTGAAACAAGGACTTGGAATTTTTGTTGTTCGAGAGATGGGAGAGGGGTTGGTGTCGTGGTGCAGTGGTTTAAGCCGCTGCTTGCAGCTGACATCCGCTATCAGTGCTCTGGTTTGAGTCCTGGCTGCTTCCTTTCCTGTAATGAGCCTGGGAATGCAGAACAGGATGGCCACATTGCTTGGGCCTCTGCCACCCATGTGGGAGATCTGGATGAAGCTTCTGGCTTCTGGCTTTGACCTGGCCCAGACTTAGCTTTTGTAGCCATTTAAAGAACAAACCAGTAGATGGAAGATCATTCCCTGTCTGTCTCCCTCTCTCTGTCATTCTTCCATTTAAATAAATAAATAAATACTCTTAAATATGATATATAAGGGATGTTTATTATCCTCAGATGATTTCAAATTTAGAAATATTTTTCCTTTATTTTTTATTTATCTGCAAGACACAGAGATTTCTAATCTATTAGTTCACACTTCTCAAGTGCCTGCAAGAGCTGGTTTGGGTCAGGCTTAAACCAGGAGTTTGAAACTCAATCATGTTTCCCATCTGGGTAGTAGAGGCCCAAGTACTTGAACCATCATCTGCTATCTCCAAGGGTACACACTAGTAAGAAGTTGGCTGGGCAGCAGAGCCGGAACTCAAACCCAGGCCTGTTGGTATGGGATCCGTGACCCTAAGCGACATCTTCCAAGATCAGACGAGATCGGGCGCGTTCAGGGTGGTATGGCCGTAGACCTAAGCGGCATCTTAGCTACGGCATCAAATACCTATCTTGAGAGGATGCTAATGTCTGTTTACCTCACGTGGCAGGAGCGCTGTGCCGAAGTCTACATGCATCTTCCTTTCCTCCCTCCTCCTTGCTCATCCTCCAGGATTCAGGGGTGGCTGGAGAATAAAATCACAGTTGTTTTCCAACTTGACCAAGCTCATCCACTTTTGCTTGACCTCCTGCTCCAACTCCGTCCTCTCTGGAAGAGCCTAGTCCTGGCATGCCTAGGAGTCCTGGCTTCAGATTTCTCTTTCCCTCCTCACCAGGTGGGCTCTGGGGAGAAGAAGAAAGTGATGGGGGTGCTGGATATCTATGGCTTCGAGATATTACAGGTGAGAGGTGGACAGCAAGGGTGAGAAGGTGGAATGGTCCTGGAGTGAGTTGAACGTCTCCTTGAACCTGTGTGTCCTCCTGTAGGATAACAGCTTTGAGCAGTTTGTGATCAACTACTGCAATGAGAAGCTGCAGCAGGTGTTTATAGAGATGACCCTGAAGGAGGAACAGGAGGAGTACAAGAGAGAGGTAAGCAAATCCTTCCCATCTCCTCTCCCATCAGTGGCATCAGTTCTTCCTTTCTCCTGGATCATAGCCTCATCTTAAATTGTTCTCCTGCCAGGAATAGATGATTCCCTTTGAACAGCTGCATAGCCCTGCTTTCTTTGCCCATCCACCCTGCAGTCCCCCCAGCTCCCAGACCAAGCTAGCTCAGGCAGGACACAGATTGATAGGAGGGGGATATGTGCAGAGAGTCCTAGCAAGAGTAAAGTGGCAGCTGTGCCTGGCCCATGGCAAACTGTGGACACTTCTCCGGGCCTCAGTGCCCTGCCCACGTCCCTTCCTCCCACAGGAAGGGTCCTCTGTGTCTCCTGGCCCTAGCTGATGTGTGGAGCCCCTGGCATTGCGCCCTGGTGACTTCCTCACCAGAAGCGCTCCACGGTTCCGTGCTTCCACACCCTGTCATGCTGGTTGTGGCTACGTGTCAGAAAAGCCTTTCGTGGGGGAGTAACCAGCCAGAAGTGTGAATGACTGTGAGCGCGCTCATTACAGCCCTTCCAGAGAGAATCAGCTGCAGTGGACTTCTGGCTAACAGGGTCACAGGATTCCGGGGAAAGATTTTTCTTTTTTTTTTTTTTAAGTTGTTTTACAGGGATTTTTGTTTTATTTTTTGAGATTTTTGTGTTTTTGAAAGTCACAGTGATAGAGGGAAGGACAGAGTAATATCTTCCACTGCTGGTTTATTCCCTCCCAAATGGCCACAACGTCTGAGTCCATAGCTCAGAACTCCCTCCAGGTCTCCCACTTGGATGCAGGGACCCAAATCCTTGGGCTATCGTCTGCTGCTTTCCCAATTCATTAGCAGAGTGACCTGGGATTAAACCAGTGCTCCAATATGGGATGCAGGTGTGGCAGGTGGCAGCTTAACCCATGATGCCAGCCTTCTGCATATTTTTTACTTCAAATCTTATGATTGGTCAAATCGATAATATGCTCCATGTTTCAAACTTCAAAGAGCTTAAAAAGATGTGTAAAGAAAGGACTCCTTCCCACCCAGATCCCATGTGCCTGGGTCCCATGTGCCCTCTCCAGCTGCAATCCAGACAAGCCCCCTTCCAGAGGTCTTTTTCCCGTACATAAGCAAACCTGCATGTGCATTTCCCTGCAGGATTTACAAAACGACAATAAGTGCCCACTGTTCTGCACCTCTGTTCTGTTAGACTCTTTTTAACAATTTTATAAAGACACTGTTGTGTCTGGGCAAAGTATTTTCCAGATGAAGTGGGAGGGCAACTTTATCTCAACTTCATTTTTTTTTTCCTCGAGAGTCCTATGAGGAAAGAGGACAAAAAGGTCTGTGCCCCTGGCCACACCTGGGCTGCGCCTCAGGCTGGAGAGACTGACACTGGGCAGGATGAGGAGTTAATCCAGCCTGCAGGCCTGGAACCCAGCAAGTCCCCAGGGAGACAGCAGAAGTCGTCTACTTCTGTCCCAGGTTTGCTTCAGAAAGAGCTGCTACAGTCTTAAATGGCTGTGTCCATAAGCAGTTTTTTTTTTTTTTTTAAGATTTTATTTATTTGAGTGCCCAGCATGATGGTTCAATGGCCAAATCCTCAACTTGTAAGTGCCAAGATCCCATTTGGACACTAGTTTGTGTCCTAGTTGTTCCACTTCTTATCCATCCAGCTTCCTGGTTGTGGTCTGAGAGGGTAGTAGAGGACGGTCCAAAGCCTTGGGACCCTGCACCCATGTGGGAAGCCCAGAAAAAGCTCCTGGTTCCTGGATTTGGATCAGCTCTGCTCTGGCTGTTGTGGCCATCTGGAGAGTAGGCCAGCAGATGGAAGATCAAAAAATTTAATTTAATTTTATAAAGATTTTATTTATTTGAAAAGCAAAATTACAGAGAGAAGGAGGGAAGGGGAGAGAAAATCTCTCTGGTTTATTTCCCAAATGGCCATGATGGCTGGAGTGGAGCCAGGAACCCTATCCTGGTCTCTTATATGATTGGCAGGGGGCTCAAGCACTTGGCCATCTTCTGCTTTCTAAGGTGCATTATCAGAGAGCTGGATCAGAAGTGGAGCTGCCGGGACTTGAACTGGTGCTCATGGGGGATGCTGGCTGATGTGCCACAATACCAGCCCCCATCAGTGACTGTTGAAGTGTTGTCCTGAACCAGCAGCAGCAGCACCCAATCTTTCTGAGCTGCTGAGGCAGGAAGTGAGAGGTGGGACCCAGGAGCCTTCTTGATGCCCAGGACATACTCTCAGGTTTGAGTCACTGATCTGCTGTTTGATGATGGCCAGTGCTCACTCGCGTGCCCTAATTTTTACAGTTTATCTGCCAGAGTAGCATGGCCTTGGCTCTCGGGTCCTTCCCCACTCTCACACATTTATCTAATGATGACACTTCTCTCTCTACCATGCAACTCTGGGCTGTCTGCATGGTCCCACTTCTCTCAGCAGCTCTGGCTTTTGCCCCACTCCACAATCTCTCTAACAGCCTCTGAGAGACAGGGGCATATACAAAAACCATACCAAGAACCCCTCTGAGCCATGGGACTTTCTGAGGGTGCCTTGGAGGTGGGGGAGGGGATGAGAAGAAGGCCAGGCACGATGCGATCTCTGTCTTGGATTTGTGCCCTGTCACCTGATACCCATCTCTTTACCAGGGCATCCCATGGACAAAGGTGGACTACTTCGATAATGGCATCATCTGCAACCTCATCGAGCATGTGAGTTTTCTCTTTTTTATTGGAAAGGCAGATTTACAGAAAGAAGGAGAAACAGAGGAGAGAGACCTTCCATTGCTGATTCACTCCCCAAGTGGCTGCAAAGGTTGGAATGGGGCCGGTCTTTTTCCGGGTCTCCCTCATGGATGCAGGGACCCAAGGATTTGGGCTATCTTACGCTGCTTTCCCAGGCTATAAGCAGGGAGCTGGATTTGAAGTGGAGCAGCTAGGACTTAAAACTTGTGCCCACAAGGGATGCTGATACTACAAGTGGAGATTTAGCTTGTTATGCCATGTGCCATCCGAGTTTTCTTTATCTCATCTCTGAGGCCTCCCTCCTACACTGCTTTGTGCATCCTTCCCTGGCCACTCAGCCTGTGTCCCTTCCTTCCTTCCCAATTCCGCTTGTTGAGGGTGGCAGTGGACAAAGGACAAGAGGAGACAGTGGAGCAGTAGTGGGAACGTGGACATCTTGGATGCAGAAGTAGGGTGGGGCAGGGCTGATTGTGTTTCTTGGTCTAGAATCAGCGTGGTATCCTGGCCATGCTGGATGAAGAGTGCTTGCGGCCCGGTGTGGTCAGTGACACCACTTTCCTAGCCAAACTGAACCAGCTCTTCTCCAAACATGATCACTATGAGAGTAAAGTCACCCAGAATGCCCAGCGCCAGTACGACCACAGCATGGGCCTCAGTTGCTTCCGCATCTGCCACTATGCAGGCAAGGTAAGAGAGAGGGCAGCAGGGCTGCGGGGTGGACTAGGGTCTGCACAGGCTGAAGGCAACAGAGGGAGGTACAAGTCGAGAAGGCTTCCTAAAGAAACTGGGAGGGCCAGGTGCTGGGACAAGGCTGTGGGGTTTCCAGGGGCAGCCTCTAAGGCAGGGGGACCTCCAAATCAACAGCTGCTCCTTTACAGGTGACATACAACGTAAATGGCTTCATTGACAAGAACAATGACCTACTCTTCCGAGATCTGTCCCAGACCATGTGGAAAGCTCGGCACCCACTCCTGCACTCCTTGTTCCCTGAGGGTGATCCCAAGCAGGCATCTCTCAAGCGCCCCCCGACTGCTGGAGCCCAGTTCAAGAGCTCTGTGGCCATCCTCATGAAGAACCTGTACTCCAAGAACCCCAACTACATCAGGTGACAAGATTGGAGAAAATCCGATTTGTATGCATTAGTGAGGGAAACAGGGATGATGTATGCAGAGCAGGGGTGTGGCTGGCAGTGACATCCACTCATGAAGTCCATGCCCTGCCTTTCCTGCAGGTGCATCAAGCCCAATGAACACCAGCAGAAAGGTCAGTTCTCACCGGAGCTGGTGACAACCCAGGCTCGATACCTGGGTCTGTTGGAGAATGTACGAGTACGACGGGCAGGCTATGCCCACCGCCAGGGGTATGGGCCCTTCCTGGAAAGATATCGACTGCTGAGTCGGAGCACCTGGCCGCACTGGAATGGGGAAGCCCGGTAAGATCGAACAAAGCCTGGGAAATGGGGCAGGGCAGTGCAGAGACCTGCCTTGAGCAAATGACGGGGCAGTGGGGAGGCAGGTGTTTGGGAAGATGCATTGAAGGATGGATCCCTTCTTGCGGGGCTGGGAGGGGCTGGGGAAGCTGGAAGAGGGTGCTGCCCTGAGACCCCTCTGCCTTGTCCTCCTACCCCACCCAACCCCCTGTAGGGAAGGTGTGGAGAAGATGTTGGGGGATCTGAGCGTGTCCCCCCAGGAGCTGGCCTTTGGGAAGACAAAGATCTTCATCAGAAGCCCCAAGACTGTGAGTTGGAGAGTGTGAGAGGAAGGTGCAGGGATCAGGAGCCCCTCAGGAAGGTGGCTGGAGGGGAAGGGAGCATCCGTAGCCAGGTGTGGGGCTAGGGGCTGAGGGTGGAGGCTCGCTGCCACACTTCTCTGCAGTGCTGGCCTTCCCACGGGCTGCTGTGTATGGATTGCTCCCTCAGACTCCCAGACTCCCAGTGCCCGGCATGGCTCAGGAAGTAAATGCTCACTAAGTGAGGGAACCAAGAGAAAAGCAAAGATCTAATAAGACGGAATAGGTTCGTGCTGTTCCCAAGGCTGGTGCTGCTTCTCCCCTTCCCGCAGCTCTTCTACCTGGAGGAGCAGAGGCGCCTGCGGCTGCAGCAGCTAGCCACACTCATACAAAAGACGTTCCGGGGCTGGCGCTGCCGCACCCACTACCAGCTAATGCGCAAGAGTCAGATCCTCATCTCTGCTTGGTTTCGGGGCAACATGGTACAGTGGCCTTCCCCCACACACATACCCCACTTCTTCCTATGGAGAGCCATTCCCTTAACTAGTGCTGGAGTGGGCAGGTGGGAAGCAGGGAGGCAGTGGCAGGGGTAGTGTGTAGGGAGGGGCCTCCTCCTGACATCTCCATGTTCAACAGCAAAAGAAACGCTACCAGAAGATGAAGACATCAGCAGTGCTGATCCAAGCTTTTGTGAGAGGGTGGAAGGTAATGGGAAAGGGGACAGGGGGTTCTTCCCCACATGTGGGCCCCCCAGAATGGTCCTGGTTGTCCTTGTGTGTGCAGTACTGGCTGTGGAAAGAGGGGTCCCTGTGCATGCCAGGGGTGTCGAGTTCTGCCATCACAGCCAGCATCCTCCTCCCTTCCGCAGTCTCAGTTCTTTATCTTACCCTGTACACTGTGTGGGTACCACCAACACCACCTTCCCCAGAGTCTGTCTTCAAGTGCCCTTCCTCTCTTGCTTGTCCTTGCCAGGCCCGCAAGAATTACCGAAAATATTTCCGCTCGGGGGCCAGCCTCACCTTGGCCAATTTCGTCTATAGGAGCATGGTAGGTGGTGCAGGCTGGGGTGGGGATGCGGGCTGGTGGAGTAGGTAAGGAGGAGGAAGGTGTGGGATTGAGAAGTGCCCCCAAACTTCCACCCCCTTACTCCAGAGCTTCCCCAATCTGCAAGCGCTTACGATCAAGGAGAAGGGGTAAAGCCCTGCTGAGCAAGTGCGTGGGCTTAGGGCAGAGGCAGTCACTGTTTTGGCTTGAAGGGGTGCTTAGGCAACCTTGTGTGTGGCAAGAAGGGGTTATATGACACTCCTTAGGAGGTCTGGACTGGACGTTTTAGCAGCACAAGAACAGGGTGCAACAACTTGCCCTCCCAGGACCCACGTGAGGATTGGGGTAAAGACTAGAGAAGAGGAGGGTGATGGGGAGATCTGAGACAAAGGCTGGCGTGAGCTTTGCAGGGTAGATCTCTGGCAGCTCTTGGGGCCCCACTGCTGGTACCATGATATGAGTGAGGTGTGTTTCTCTGGGCTCCCCTGTGTCCACATACAGGCTAGAGCCCTTGGCTACTGCAGGCAGAGCTGGGAGTCCTGGGACTCCCACCTTCCTGCCCCGACCTGCCCCATCTCCCGGGCCTGCCCTCAGGCCTGGCGGGCCCAGCAGACTCTGCCTCTTGCAAAACGTGCTCTGTAGCCACACACCCACCCAAAGCCTGCGATCTGATCTTGCTCTTGCTCTTACTCGGGCCTGACCTGTCATTCCACCTGAATGAGATCAGGCAGCTGGTCAGTGTCAGTCTCCCAGGCTGCTGGGTGTAGACCCAGAGGTCAGTCAACCACACCCCTACAGGAGTATTCAGGGTCAGCTGGGTCTGTATGCTCCCTGGTGTCTCTGGGTCAAAGTTTGCTGCGACCTTGGCTATGACTAAGGCTGGTGCCTGTTTTCTTATAAACACTCACCGTGCGCCAAGCTTCTCGCATGCTGGGCCTCTAGTCCTTGTGACTATCCTGGAAGAGCAGCCAACATTTTTTTTTTCCATTTCCTGAGTGGAAAAATGAAGTCCCAGGCCAGGGTTCCATAGCTTGATAAAGTGGTAGGGCTGGGATACAAACTATCTGACTCCAGAGCTCTTAACCATTGCCTGACTTACAGGGGCCTGAGCAACCTACTCCCCCAAGCAGACCTGGAGGTAGAAGGAAAGCACAGTTCTAGGGGGAAAAGAAAGCCACCATGAAGATAAGAAAGCCCTGGGAACTTCTATACTGTCTTGACCTTGGGAGATATTCAGGATAATTTGTTGAATTAAATCAATCTAGACCCAGGGCCAGGGTTGGGGGATTCCTCACTGGGTCCTGATCCCAGGAACCTCACCCCCTAGATCTGCAATAGAAGCCAAAGGAAGATTGTTCCTGCAGAGTTGCAGCAGCATGCTGTGTCTCTATTACATTTAAAAACCTGATGTTTTCAGAAAAATCCCAAGTATTTGGCAATACCAAAAGTCAAGGCAATGCCAAAGGTTGAGGATGACTGTATCCTTCGTCATCCTCATTCTCCATAATCAGCAAAACAGGATGCTAGGTGCTCCCTGGGAAGCAAAAGCATAAAGGTCGTTGTGCTAGGGTAGAGAGGGCTGAACAGCCAGGTGCCACAGGTGGGCTTGATTAGATTCTAGAGTAGGAAATGCAAAAATGAAGCTATTGAGGACATGTTCAGTTGTGTGTGTGTGTGTGTGTGTGTGTGTTTTAAGACTTGCTTTATTTGTACGGAAATAAAAGTCAGATATACAGAGAGGAGGAGAGACAGAGAGGAAGATTCTGCATCCAATGATTCACTCCCCAAGTGGCCACAATGGCCAGAACTGCACTGATCTGAAGCCAGGAGGCTGGAGCCTCTTCCAGGTCTCCCACACAGGTGCAGGGTCCCAAGGCTTTGGGCCATCTTTGACTGCTTTTCCAGGCCACAGGCAGGGAGCAGGATGGGGAGCAGGGTTTATGGGATTAGAACCAGTGTCCATATGGGATCCCAACGTGTTCAAATTGAGGATTTTAGCTGCTAGGCCACCTTTCTGGGCCCATAATCAGGGGCTTTGTAAAGGATCTACGGAGAAACTTACTTGAGTGCAAGCTGGGTGTCTGATGGATGTTGGTTTTCTTTGCTTGTGGTGACAGAGTTAGGATTATGTGAGAGAATGTGCTAGTTCTGGAGAGATGCTTGTGGAATTTTTAGGGGAGAATGTCCTGGTATCCATGGCCATGACCTGTTTTCCTATTTGATGCTAGCAAAGAGTTGCATACCTGTGTGTATGCATATGCATGTGTACATCTCTATACCTGTGCATATTGGAGAGAACCCATGAATGACAGAGCAAAGTCAGGTCTGAGCTCCACAGCAGGAGAGTGTACTCCGTGTCGCCCATTCTCTGTCATTGTAATGCTGACATTGTCAGATGGTAAATTATCACAATTTAGGTGTGGGGTACATGGGGTATCCCAGCACTCCTGCAAGTTTAAAGGCATTTGGAATAAACAATAAGCTATATTAAATAATAGTAATAAAACTAAGTCCGATTATATCAGACTGCAATAGCTTAAAGTCCAGACCACAGATCTTTATCATCTGGCCCATCAGTGATCAGCTCTCTCATCTCTCCTCTGCAGCCAGGCTGAATTTCTTACTGTTTCTAGAATGTGCTGCCTCTCATTCCTGCCTTGGGGCCTGCCTTTCTGCATCACAGCCAATATCTTTATCTATTGTTCCCATGGGTGTGTGTGTGTTTCTGTTTGAGCTCTGCCTGCCCTACCCTGGGATGACAGCCCACGGAGAATCAAGGCCTTCCCTGTCTAGAACCTTAGCATGGTGTCGGGGTCAATAGACGCTCAGTGTGCATTGCAGGGAGTAGGAACTGGTGAGCGGGGACCCTGACCCTCAGAACTCACTATATAGAATTGAGAGAGGTTTTCCACAAGGCAGGGGCAGAGGGAAGCACTGAACCCAGGCACTGTGATGTGGAATGGAGGTGTCCCTAAGTGCTGGGCCCAGGCCTGTATCCTTCTGTTTAAGCAGCAGGATGGGGGAAGTGTGGGGAAGGGTGAGTTTGCCTGCACAAAGGGTTTCTTCTCACCACGCCTCTTCCAATCTCTTCTGCCCCCACCCCAGATGCAGAGATTCCTCCTGGGGCTGCGGGACAGTCTTCCGTCTGATAAGGTGTTGGATCACAGGTGGCCAACTGCCCCTTACAAGTGCTTTGAGCAGACCAACCAGCAGCTGCAGCAGCTCTTCCACCAGTGGAAGGTGAGCGGGGCCAGGCCCTTAGCTCACCACGTGGTCTTGTCCTTTTCCACCCTCTGATCTGCTTCTGCCTTCATCTTCTACCTTCCCCCATCATTTATGTATTTTTGTTATGATGCAATGTACATGACACACAGTTGACCATTTCAGTCATCTCAGTGTGGAATTGGGGTGTTGGGCAGCCCCTGCCACCACCACCACCTTTCAGATATCTATTGTCATCACCCCAAATTGAAAACTCTGCACCTACTAGTAATAACTCCCTTTTCTTCCCTTTCCCCAGCTCCTGGCGATCTGCACTTGCTTGTTTGTTTAACTATGGTCGGTTTCCCCAGGCCAGGCGAAACCATTGGCTATCTTGCAAGTGACTTCTTTCACTGAGCATAGTGTCATTTATTTTGATTCAGGAAACGCTTTAGGAGCAGTTGTCTGGAACTAAGACTCATCTTTTGTTTACATTTCCTTCCCTCGCAGCTCTTCTCCATGGGGATTTGTTCATTTGGCGTCCCCTCTGGTCTACACTTCTCTCCTTATCCCAAGAGCCCTGGTTTCATCTTAGTTCTTGTCCCCACTCCTGATTTTGACAGTGTAAGAAGTTCCGGGATCGCCTGTCCCCGAAACAGGTGGAGATGCTGCAGGAGAAGCTGTGGGCCAGTGAACTGTTCAAGGGCAAGAAGGCTTCCTACGCCCAGAGGTGAGGATGCTTACACAGCCTCTGCAGCCAGCCCCATGAGCAGTGCCATAGCCATCATCTTGGAGCTCAGGCATCAGGGCCACCTGGCTGGGTTTCAGATTTAGCAGTACTGGAGTTGGGGGCGGGGGCAGGCACCCACAGGATGGTGCTGGCTGGTGCACACAGAGGCTGTGGCACTGGAAGGAGAAGGAGGAAGGTGTAACTTTTGGGGACAAGGAAGCTTGGGTCTAGATCTGCATTGCACCCCTCTCCTGTGTCCTCAGTGTCCCTGTTCCATTCCGTGGTGACTATGTGGGGCTGCAAGGGAATGCCAAGCTGCTGAAGCTGAAGGGCCGAGAGGAAGGGCCTATCCTGATGGCAGAGACTGTGAGGAAGGTCAATCGTGGCAATGGCAAGGTGAAGGCCTTAGTGCCAACTGCTCCCCCATGGACGGCCCGGTCTGCAGCTGTGGTGCTGCAGAAGTTGCTCAATCTTGCTTTCCCTCACCCTTCCTGTTCCCCACGCAGATGTCATCTCGGATTCTCCTTCTGACCAAAGGCCGTGTGATTCTTGCTGATGCCAAGCAGTCCCAGGCCAAATTTGCCATCGGGTTGGACAGCGTGGTGGGGGTGTCGGTCAGTGGCTTCAAGGATGGACTCTTTGGCCTGCACCTGAAAGAGGTATCTGTGACAGGTGGCGGCGGGCGTGGGACAGGGCAGAGTGGCTCCTTTCGAGGACAGAGCGACCCTCTTCTCTGCTATTTTTCTGTCTTCCTAAGACATCATCCGTGGGCTCCAAGGGGGACCTGCTGCTGGTCAGCGACCACGTGATTGAATTACTGACAAAATTGTTCCGTGCCGTGCTGGCGGCCACACAGAGGCAGCTCCCAGTCACTGTGACTGAGCAGTAAGACCACAGGCTGGGAGTAAGGGGCAGCTGCGGGAAGGTGACTGGGTGGGGATGGGGAGACACTGGTGCCAACAGGAAGTAAAGTCTATATTCCCTCAGGGTTGGGGGGCTGATGGAGGGGTGGCTTTGTGCCATGCGCTTGCCCCAGGGAGGGGAAGCGGGGAAGGGATGGGAATGGGGCCACCAGTTTTGACTCCTCTGTCTGTTCCCTGCCCCCTCCAGATTCTCAGTGAAGTTCAAAGAGAACCAAGTGACTGTCAAGGTGATCCAGGGCCCTGCAGGCAGTGGGAAAAGCAAGCTAAGCTTCAAGAAGAAGGGGAACCACAGCCTGGAGGTGACTGTGTAGTGAGGAGACAGCACTGCACACAGGTGGCAAATGGATGTGGCACCTGCCAGGCGGCAAATGGCCAATGGCTTCCAGGTTGGGGGGACCACCTCTGTGCAGGGAGCCACTGCCCAACCCCGTAATGGTGCACTGGGGCCTGGAGATGGAACAACCCTGGAAGAGATCTTGTCTTTTCCCTACCTACCTGGGGGAGCTTCCTCCCACCCACTAATAAAATCCCATGACTTCTGAGACGCTGGGTCAGTGTGGCTGGGTCCTCACTCTGCCCATCTGCATTCTGGGTGATGACCAACCTGCTTCCCCCACCTCCATCCTGCTCTCTCCCCTCGGGTTCCTAGGAGCTGGCTGGAGAAGGGAATAAGAATGGAAAAGAAGGGAAATTTCCCTAGGCTTCTTGATCGCCCAGCCTGATCTCTTGGCGGGGTCTGGAGAGGCTGCAGTGGGGTGGGGGTAGGGGAGCCCCAGCGTAGGTCGCAGGTGCTCACTGGGCAGATTCATTAACTGTGTCCCTGGAGGGAAAGAAGTGAGGATCCACCCAAGCCTGCAAAGGGGTTTAAGCTAGAGGGCTGTTGGAAGCCCAGAGGAGCTGGGGAATGCATGAGTCCACTGCACACAGGAGCTCCACCTCCACCCTTTACCCTGTACCCCAGGCCCAGCACAGGACGGATGGGGTTGCATCACTCCTGCCTCCCTAGCACCCCTTCCTTTCCTGGCTAGCCCAGCTCCTCCCCAGACTCCACTTTATTTCACTCATTCATTTTCCCTCTGTCATCGCCATCATTTCTTTCGCCGTCCCCCACCATTTCACTGTCTACGTTTAAGTGGGTTTGAACCCTCGTCTGTAGCATTTTGTGTAATGTTCTCTGTTTTTCCAGTCTCCCTTGGGCCCTGTACATTCAGCCTCCCCCATCGCAGTCTTTAGGGAGAATAGGTGCAGCATTTGTGGTCTGTGAGTTCTGACCTCGGGCTTGCCTGTGTCCCCGGGGTCTGGTGGCTAGTTCTTCCTTTTCAACCTTTCCTGCCTCCTTCTCCTCTGAGCTCATGAAAACATTCTGAGGCTGGGGTCTCCCCGCAGCTCCTCCCGTTGCCTTGCATCTGCAGGCAGCTCACGGCCCCAGGTAATCATTCTGGCGGGGAGCCCTGATTAACTTCTCTCCCTGCCTGCAGATGAAAATGCTCTCTGAGCACAAGCTCTGAGCATCCTTCCACACGTGGCCACTGGGGTGAGGGCTGGAGCCTGTCCTGCAGAGCTTCGTGTCCCCGGGCAGGGTAGCTCAGGCTTTGACTGGCCTCTTGCCCATCCGGGACAGCTGACCTCGTCTCCGAATCAGGCCAAGAAGATCCTGTCTGGTTGAGCAGGGGTTGGTGACCTGAGTGACTCGCCCCCGCTCTCTGCCTCATCTCCTGCTCCCACGGCCCAAATTGTCGTCACTTTCCTGCTGAAGTGTCTGGTCATTTCAGAAGCAATTTCAGCAGAAAATGCAGCTGCTCCTACCCAGGCTGCTTTTTCCTTTCGCTCAGGGTGGAGGCAACTCTCGGGTCGGGGACAGGTTCAGGGCTGGGGCTCCTGGCCAGGTGGAGCCCTGTGTAGGGGTGCTTCTTCATGGAACGGTGGGTACCCCTCTCTCCTCTGCCCTCCCACCTGCCCTTTGTCTTTCTCTTCCTGGACCCAGGAATGTGCATTTTCATCTGCTGGAGTCTTTGGGGACTCAGTTTCCACTTGTGTATGTCAAGCTTGAATTGGCCCCAGTCCCCTCCTCCCTCAGCCCTGCACAGAGCCAGAGGGTCACAGCCATCCTGGATACCCCACGCCCGGGGTGGCACCCAAGCAGCTCATGGTTTGCACCAGCTCTTGCTGAGTGGTGGTGGTCGGGGGTGGCTTTTTGTGTCTGCTTGGTCTGTTGTGCCCCTAACCCCATGTGTCCTGGCTGCAGGATGTGGCAGGACCTGGAAGCTGCTCCCCTCTGTTCATCACTTGCTGGAGTTTCCCCCAGGGTCTCCTTATAAGCCCTGACCTAGCCATGCTGGGTGTTGAGGGAGTCCACACGTCGTGTCCAGGGTGGACACATTCAAGTCATCTCACTGTGTGCCAGCGCCTTACCCCTCCCCTCCATCTCCTGTCAGCAAAACTATAGACACCTCTTCTGGTCTCCCCCAAACCTCCCCAGCCACCAGGAGTGAGGGTCTGTCTGCAGGGGAAGGTGCAGCTAGGCAGCCTGCTGGCGGGGGCGGGGGGGGAGGGCGGGGAAGTGGGGGAGAACATGTGACAACATCTGCCAGGAACTTAAGCCCAAGCAGCAGCGCCACTTTACATGCTGTTTGCATATAGTCCAGTGGGGATGCTCTGGCCTGTCACGCCCCCTCCTGCCACACCCACCTAAGTCACCCTACCAGCTCTTTCAAGTCTTTGCTAATCTCCAAGATCAAGGGACGATCAGTGCTCCCTGCCACCCCAATGCCCACCCCCTCTGCAAGATGCTGGATCATCAAAGGGCATTATTCATGGCAGACCTTTGCTGAGGCCCTGCTTCCCCTAGCCCAGGACTGGTGGGGAGTGGGGTGCAGGGAGAGAGTGGTGGCTGAGGGAGGGGACTGTGCACAGATCAGACTCTGGGTTGGTCATTTGTCTGCCACCTGCTCCCCGTTACCCACCCCTGCTTCTGCCACCTGCTCCCCGTTACCCACCCCTGCTTCTCTCTCGGTGGGTGGGGAAGTCCAGGAGGAGGGTGCTGGCTGGGTTCAACTGGAAGGGCGCCCACCCAGGCTTCTCAAAGGACTGAGCCAACCATGGCATTTGCATGGAAACAGCCTCCCATTCCAGTTCCTCCTGTCGCCAAGTGCTGGCCAGTGGCCGCCCGGCCTCCGACAGTCCCGTAATTAGCTGGGTAATGAGTAGCTTTTAATGAGGCTCCATTAGTTTCTCCCACAATAAAGAGGCCTTGAGACCCAGCTGCTGCCCTCACTCGGGGGTGAACATGGGGCCCTGTGTCGGTACAGTGATTTCTGGCAGGGTGGCCAAGTCCTTAGCAGGGAGGGTACTCCACCAACTCTAGTGTGTGGAGGAGGCATGTTTGACCTAGATGTAAAAATATGGCTGTGTTTCCCTTTGGGTTACTATAAACATTTTATTGAGTACCAACTGCATGCCAGCTCCTGTAGGGCATGAGATACACCAGTGCATGATGGACACAACCAAATCCTTGCCCTAGAGGTCTCCGAGCACTGTCACTGTAGTTGGGACAGGTGTGCGGGAGAGGGACATTAAACAAAGCACCCAACATATTGGATATAGTGAGAGCCAGAAGAAAAAAGAAACAGGAGGGGGGGCATATGAAATAATTTAAAAAGTTATTTGAAAGGCAGAGTGACATATAGAGGGAGAGATGGCAGAGACAGAGTGAGAGAGAGAGAGAGAGAGAAAGAGAAAGCATTTGTTAGTTTATTCCCAAATGATCACAACAGCTGGGGTTGATCTAGGTCACAGCCAGAAGCCAGGAATTTTTATTTTAAGATTTATTTATTTTTATTGGAAAGTCAGACATATATATAGAGGAGGAGAGAAAGAGAGAAATATCTTCTGTCTGATGATTCATTCCCCAAGTGACCACAATGGCCGGTGCTGCGCTGATCCAAAGTCAGGAGTCAGAATCTCTTCCAGGTCTTCCATGCAGGTGCAGGGTCCCAAGGCTTTGCGCCGTCTTTGACTGCTTTTGCAGGTCACAAGCAGGGAGCTGGATGGGAAGTGAGGCCTGCTGGGATTAGAACTGGTGACCATATGGGATCCCAGATGCTAGGCCATGGCACTGGGCCACAGAAGCCAGGACCTTTTTAGGTTTCCCATTGTGTGGCAAGGATCCCAAGCACTTGAGTCATCTTCCCAGGCACATCAGTAGGGGGCTGGATTGGAAGTGGAGCAGCTAGGATTTGAACCAGTGCATATATGGGATGCCAGTGTCGCAGATGGCAGCTTAAACTACTATGCCACAATGCGAACTCTGGCATAATTTTATTTATTTTTTTTATTTTAAAAAAATTATTTTTATTGGAAAGTCAGATATACAGAGAGGAGGAGAGACAGGAAGATTTTCCATCCGCTGATTCACTCTCCAAGTAGCCACAATAGTCAGAGCTGAGCCAATCCGAAGCCAGGAACCAGGAGATTCATCTAGGTCTCCCATATGGGTGTAGGGTCCCAAGGCCTTGGGCCATCTTCGACTGCTTTCCCAGGCCACAAGCAGGGAGCTGGATGGGAAGTGGGTCTGCTGGGATTAGAACTGGTGCCCATATGAGACCCTGGCACATGCAAGGCAAGGATTTAAGCTGCTAGGGTACCGCACCGGGCCCATCTGGAATAATTTTAAATGCAGTGGGTAGGGAAGGCCTTGATGAGCACCAGCAATCTATCCCAGGAGAAGGTCCCGAATCTCCAGGCCTCTAGGAGGGAACTCTGGCCTTGTGGATCTTTTCTCCCTGGTCATTTGCCTCCCGTGTGTGCAGAAGTAGGTGACCAAACTTCCTGGGCTCCAGGTTCCTCATTGGAAATCCAAGAACGTTAGCAGCTTGTAGAACTGCGGTACTGGAAATGAGCAGATTCATCCAAGCTGAAGTGCATTGCAGCTCCCATGGTGTGTCTCCTTGCCTCTGAGTCTGGCTGTGATGCTGACCCTGCCTCGGCCCCTCCCCTGGGCAGGTAGACAGATAAGCCCCTCACATCAGACTAAGAAATCAGTGCTGCTGGGTGCTGGGGGCAGGGCGGAGAGAGGGCAGGACAGCCCTGACTTCATGTTCTGGTTCCCTTCCCTTAGACGATAGCAGGAGGAATGGAAGACAGACAGGCCCCGGCACTGGTGGGGTGGGGTTGGAGGCTGGACAGGCCCTGGAGGTTGCTGGGTCTGGCAGCAGGGAAAGCTCTAGAAGGTATACATGAGCACTGGGGGTCAATATGGGGCTCACCCCAGCCTGCTAGTCTGCTAGTCCAGCTGAAAGATTTGAAGAACTAGAGAAAGCTAGGAGCTGAACAAGGAGGGAGAGTAGACCTGGGGTCCACACTGCTGAGCTGTGACCAGCCCCAGATGACAGCCCTTAAACCCAGCTCAGGCACGGCTGGGAAGTGGGCTGCTGAATAACTTCAGCTCACTGGTGTGTGTGTGTGTGTGTGTGTGTGTGTGTGTGTGTGTGTGTGTGTGTGTGTGTGTGTGTCTATCTGCTGTCTGCAGCGTGCTTCTGCCCCC